CTTTTCAGCTTTGCCTGACACAACTCACCCACTCTCCTCCAGCAGCGGCTCATTTGTGAGGGAGCCCTGACAAGTTGATCACCGAGTGCAGCGGATCATTGTCTTGAAGTAATTATAATAATCATTTTGCACTGCAGACATGGTAGTTCTTCTGTCTTAGTGTCTCGGTCTGATTGCATTTCCATGAAGAAATTATTAAATGTTCTTCCTTAAGCTGCGAAACTCCACTGCAGGCTTTTTGGTTGAGATATGGGTGTGGAGCCATAGACTGCTGTGTATTGCTATTGTGCGGTCATTACTAAAGTTGGTATAACTAGAGAAGCAAGCAGTCGGCACTTAATTTTACGCCGGAATATCCCTTTAAATACATTGCAAGTTTGACACTTGTATGGTTTTCCTGTAGATTGTAGTCAAATTTTCAGGCATCTGTCAGCATCCTGACTGACACAGGCGGGTCTGTAATGTAACTGAAGAATTGGACTTTCCTTAAATGTGAGCGTTTGCTTAAAACACACACAAACCTGTTTGGCTGTGGACTAAAAGATTTTGTCTATAAATTCTGCGAAGTAAATGTCGTTAGCAGAAGCGGCGAGGCGTCATTACTGCAGCTCCACCTGCTGGTCTCCTCTTCACAGAGTCATCAGAGCTTGTTTTGAGGACATTGCAGCATCCCTTATGTTCATTATGGTAGGTGAAGGTTGGTCTTTATTCACTGTCCCCAAATGTGACAGTTACTGAATAAGCACTATAATGGTTATTGAATAATGGCCTATCTTTCAAAGCTGGAGCTCACCAAAACCCCTGAACTTCACCTTTTTCAAAAGTAAAACCAAGTAACCTCTCCTTCTAAAGTGTCAAACTCCCTTTATAAAGACTGAAGGAAGTGGTACAGAATGCGATCAACAGCAGGTCCCTGCAAGTATAGAAACATGGGTACGGCTCCACCAGTGTTTCCTTGTGTGTGTGTGTGTGTGTGTGTGTGTGTGTGTGTGTGTGTGTGTGTGTCTGCTTGTTTTCTTTGTGCCAACATCAAATGAGTTTTCAGATATCAGTGTGTTTTCATCAGTCCCACACTGACAGGCTCTATTAAAAACACCCTTGGACTCATTCTCGTCACAGTTTGACAGGAGTAATTCCCATGGCAAGCGGGATGACGAGATGAAGAGCAGACAGGAGTTAACACAAATCCCATTTTAATGTATTTTATTGAACTTGATTTATTTACTATCAGGCCAACATTAGCATGAAGTAAAGTCAAAGCTTCAGGAAGCGATAGTTTGTGGCTTTGGTTTGAACCTCGAGGACGAGCTCAGCAGTGTTTGTTTTCTGAAGCAGACTTTTTACTGAGCTGAATGCAGGACTCAAGGTATTGTTACTGAGGCTTCATCCTGCTGTATCAGGCCATTTGTGCGGGATGCAATCTGTCCTGTACTTAAAACTACTGCCTGAAGGAAAATCAATCTACCCGTAAAGTCGATTCGAATTATAGCACTCCCTGCATGTCGTACGTGTGCATCATTATGTATGTGCTCGTCTATTACTGCTGCCATATGTTCGAGCAGAATACCCTCCCCGGCGAGAGGGTGAGTATCACTCTGCCTTTTGGAAACTTGATTAATGCAGACTTTTGCAGAGGCACAGAAATATGGTTCTGTATGCAGCGCGTCCGTCTTACATGTGCACAGCAACAGTTTTCTGACTGTCAGTCTCATAACCGCCAATTGTCTTTGTTAAGAAGTCTTCTTATGTCCTAAATCCTGAACAAGAAACAAAGATTTAAAATCAGATGAGATAAACTTTATTTATCCCCCGAGGGAAATTCAGTTATCATGTTTTGACACAATTTTCATGCAACTGATGGTTTTCTAATTTTATTTATTTATTCATTTACTTTTTAAGTTTGGCTGCACAATTGCCACGATGAAGACACATACAGAAGCAGTCTTGGCTTTCCTAAAGTCACCTCTCTGCAGCTGTAGCAGTCATAAAGTAAATTTACTTGAGTACCGTCATCAAGAGCAGTATAATTGAGTGTCTGAACTTCACTTAAGTGTTATTTTATGGGAAAAAATTATGACTCCTAAGGCAAATATGGTACTGTCGACTCCACTATATTTCTATGAACATTGTTATGCTCTAGGGCTGCTCAATTTTGGCTGAAAATAAAATTCCAATTTTTTTCTCTGAAAACTTGATTTTCAATTTCAGTTTTTAATTAAGTGACAACTTCTCCAAACTTTACTTACATAATAAGTTTTCCATCATCTCTCAAAACCAAACCACTGAAAACAATGACGAGCATATACCAAGCCAGTAAGTGGCACTGTCACACTGCAGAGGAAATGCACAAAAGACAGAAGAAGAGTACAGAGCATGCGTATAAAGGTTGTTTTGGCTGGACACGCCCAGGTGCTATTAAAGAGTTACGCTGTGAGTCACATAATTGTTTCGGGCATCCACACAGAGATTAAATGGTAGTCGTCCACGGATTTATGCAGCTCTCTGACCCATTATCAAAAAGTACAGTTTACAGCCACCTGAAACGCTGTTTCCATGCAGATGAAATGCTGATATGACAAAAAACTTTTGCGTTTACTCCTGAATTCGTTCCCGTGTGGACGGGTTGATACCGCCTTAATAATCGCCTTCTTTTGCAAACACCAGGTTGGTTTACTCTGGTGTGAGTGGGAACTGGGGAGTGCTCCCACAGGAAGGGGGAGCCTTTCCTGTTCTGGAGACTTGAGACATGATAAAGAGGAAAACTGATTTGATAATTTAAATTTTTTTAACATCGCCTTATTAAAATAATCCGATTACAATTTATCATCAATTAATCGTGCAGCCCTATGCTCTAGAGTCAACTGATGAATTTTCTCGTCTGAAATCACCGGATGTATGATAGCCACAGAACAACTTGCTTTATGTTCATTATACCACATCTGGAATAAGCAGTGTGTCTCATGCCCGTCTCACGCGCCACAACAAGAAGGAAGGGAGCTTGGTGATTTTTTTTCTGCAAGCTCAGCAAAAACAAACAGAAAACTATAATTAAGGGCTCTGTTGGTTTGTGTCACTGTGTTTGTGTCACAAGCATGAAAAAGATACCATGGAGGCCCTTCCTGGTGCATTTCAAAGTAAAAGCTTGGTCTGCTCTTTCTGTGGGGAGACTGGACTTGTATTACACATTTTATCAGATTCATGAAACCTGAGCAGAACATGTTTGAGTGTGAGTGGGAACAAAATTGCAAATGATCCTGCATTCAACAATATTTCAGAACCTATGATTTGTTTGTAGCTACCAACATAATCTATACCTGATCCTGACCACTGACAGAGCTTGTGTAAGGGGAGAAATCTCAGAAATTATCAGAAATCACATTAATTTATTTTGAACATAGATATTAGCTGAATATATCAACAAAAACTATGAATAAATGTGTTTGACGCATTTGTTCTCTTTCACATTGTATCCTTAGACACTGGCTGTGAAGTGACTTTGGACCAATGAAGATAAAACCAAGAGCATGAGAGTGAAGATCTTTTCAGTCAGGTAATGAACTCAGTTTATGATCCTCAGACATCAGCAGGTTCTTCTCCCTCCTCTACCGCCCTGCCATTCATAAAGTCATTACTTATTTCCAGAACTTTCTCTGTCTTTTCTTCAGAGAAACAGATGCTCAGGTGGACCGAGGTCAGGTCCCAGACTTCGTCCATAAAGAACATCCAAATGTTTGCTCATAAAACTTTCTTGGTTGCTCTTGCTGCATGTAACGGATCATTATCTAGCTCATTATTACAGCTGCATATTTCTGTATCAGAGCAGACCAAATTGTTCTGCACTGGCTAACCTGTGGAGGAAGTTTGAATTGAATAGTCCACTGAAACTTTCTCACATTATAACCCTGATCAGTTCTGTAGTCCAGAGGAGATGAGGTCTGTTTTTAACATAAAGACCAGAACTGAAAATGAGCTCACTATCATGCCTCTACAAAAAGGGCTCTACTGTTGGATCTTGGGTAAAGATGATAAAAGATTCAGATTGAATTAAAACTATTCTCGAATCAAGCAGTAAATTCCAGTGGGAAAAACTGAACTGATTGCTGAAGCACAGAAGAACCCACAGTTCCTCAAGTGCCCACTTGGGGCAGTCTCCAAAAGAGATGGAATTTGTCTTTTTACAGCGTATACAAACATGTTCCCGCCTTAGTAGAAAAGAAAAAAACAATAACACTGTTTAGGTCCGGTGTCAAATTCACAAACAAAAGTTATGGTGACAAATGTTTTCGACACACTTTTTCCCCATGTTAGAGATGATGATAACAAGTTGAAACGACATCACTGACAATAAGAGGATGGATGAATCAGTGTTTTTCTATTGGTGAACAAGACACTACAATTACTTCCCCCACTGTGCATCCAATTATTCCCTGAAAGTACAAGTGATGCATCCCTATACCAGGCTGAATTAGCGAAGGGGCACAGTGTTAATTTTGTAATTCATGTGCAACAACTGCTCTGTAGGTGCTTACAAATCCTCTCTGCCTGAAAGCTGTGGGACATGTTTGTTCAGAAATGCACAGTGTAAATTGTGAATACCAGGTTGTGGGTGCAAGACGTTCCCTGTAGGGCTTGGGATTTTACATGTGTTACCTGCATCATGCATGTTGGTTGAAGATAAATGTGCTAAAATGGTGAGGTCTGGTGCATGGTAAGGTCTCTAAATATGTAAAAAGAAGAATGACTGAATAATCTGGGACCTCCCACTACTTTGTGTGCTCGGGTCCTAACATTTCAGGGCCTGATGAAATCTGTGTTTTTGTTTGACCTCCAAAGATCCTGCAAGGAAATGCTTTAATGTCTCCCGGTGTATGAGGGTGAGGAAAACCCCAAATAGATGCAAAGGTGATTATTTAAACCCAGAGTTACATGAAAAATCCACAAATCCACTCTGAAAAAATCTATAAGACTTCATTAAAGAAGAGACATGCTGAGAGTCAAGGTAAGGAAATGTCAGCTTGTACATTTATTTTATTATTCACAGGTGAACACAGCAGAGGCATGGACTGTTTCAGATCCCCTCGGGGGCACATTCAGCAGGGCAAAATGTCAACAAATGATCAGAAATAGAAAGATGTCATGCGGGGCTGCATATATGCCCCCCTGGAGATACATAGTTTTTCACCAACACACTTCAGAACCAATCAACCACCGATCTCTATCGACTAATGTTTTATTGTGTGGAGGGGGAGAGCCTGGCTGGGGTTCAAACAGTCAAAGTTTCACCGACAGTCCGACAGGCAGAAAGCACAGGAGTGCGAGGATGGATCACACACTAAAATGGGAGAGAGAGGGGAAAGCCCTGTGGAGGTTAGCCTCTTTCGCTCTGAAACTGTACACTGACATGCTTTAGACAGGAAGCGGGGGGGAGGGGGGGGCGATAGGAGGTTTCATCCTCGTCAATGTTCTTTAAATGGAGAGTGTTTATCTCCACCTGCTTGTCTCCCGAGCTCGGGCTTTAGTTTGGAATTACCCGGAGGAAAGGTTTACATCTGACAGAAAAAAAGGGAAAGAGAGATGCGTCCGTTTTCACACAGAGGGATGAGAGAGCAGAGCAGAGTTCCCTTTCTGTGACAGCTCAATCCACACGCCTGTCTCCTCTCCAGAGAGACAACTTTTCATCGAGTCAGACTGTGCAGCCGCTCGCTCACAAAAGCCAGCCTCATTTCCCGGTCCTCTGTGTGTGTGTGTGTGTGCGTGTGTGCGTGTGTGTGCGTGCGTGTGTTTGTGTGAACTGTGTGTGTGCATGTGTGTCATCGCTTCAATCTCCACGGCGATGATGTCCCATTCAGCTGAGCACCTGCCAGGATAAGAGGTGAAGGAGGAGGGTGGAGGAGGGGGAGGCGCAGTCAGTCAGTCAGGCAGAGGAAAGGAAAAACACAGAACTATCAAAATGGCCGCCGCCCCCTCGCCAGGTGTTTCCGTATTGAAAAGAATCAGGCTTCCGAAGATCATTCAGCTCCATTTACCTTTCGGGATCACCCGGGGTGCAGCAACCCAGGTGAGACTGGGGTAGCCATGGCAACGCATTCAGGGCGATGACGAGCTTGTGCATCTGTGTGTGTGTGTGTGTGTGTGTGTGTGTGTGTGTGTGTGTGTGTGTGTGTGTGTGTGTGTGTGTGTGTGTGTGTGTGTGCTCAGAAAAACATTCAACCTCAGGCCCCAAAAATAGACACTTTGCAGAAACATCATGTTGTAAAAGGGTTTTCAGAAGTCCCAAAGAGTCCATGAGGGGGAACGACAGGGGGGCCCTTGTGAAAGCTCCAGGAGGTCCCCAACATTTTATTCACTTCATACCTAATAATACAAACTATGACAAGAACAGAGGACTAAAATCAACAACACAGATACTCTCATATGGACTGTAGGACTGAATTTACAAATTATACAAAACTCCAACTCAATGACACAAAATTCATCAAAGTGCAAAGCTGGGTGAAAGTAACTGCGTAACAACACTGAATACTGCACGTTATGGAGGAAAACAAGAGTTTGTGCTTATTGAGGTTATTGAAGAGTTTTGGTTCAACATAAATAGGATTAGATTGAGCAGATTCTGACCTGGAAAAATGAACTTCCGTTTTTAAAAAGAGATCACAAAAGCTATTTGTGAGGTCTTGAGCAGCTCATAACCAACATAAAATGAGTCTATGTGACTGTAATGTAATAGTTTAAATTCATTTTCCTTATATAAATGAAAAGCCAATCCCAAATCATTAAATACAGCAGCTTGTTACTGAAAATAAAATGTAAATAAATTGGACTGTGAAGCCTCTGTTTTGCAATGGCAAATATGCATCATAGGGTTGAACCTTCAGAAAAAGGCAGTCAGGAGAAACAGCTGGGTAAAGTTTTAGATTTAAAGGTTCAGTCAGTGATAATAAAAGTGAAGCCAGACCATGAATAGTGGAGGATAGTTTTTAAAGATGGGGAATCATACTCAGTTTCAGGATTTATATTGTTTTTCTAGTTCCTCTGTAGTATCTCTAGAGTTTCTGTCTGACCACTTAAGCAAACCCACTTCCCTCTATTTGGCCAGAGCTCTAGAGGCTTCATCTACTGTTGCCATGCTACAAAGTTTTCACAGTTGAGTAAACTAGTGTTTACCACTGCAGGGTGATGTAGTATGAAACATGGCTGTATGTTTTAGACCATGAATGAATCTCACAAAGTTTGCATAGGCAAAAACAGAAAAAGGTTTTCCCCAGCAAAGAATAAAGCAGGTATGAGTGATGATTTTTTTTTTTTACACAGGTGTTTGGTGATTAATTTGGGCAAAAGCAGTTTTACCACAAGCCATGAACTCATCTTTTATTTGCCACTGTCTTTCTTATTTTATTGCCACTAACTGGGTTGTAACTGCACAATATGCCAAGCATTTGGTGCTTGGTCCCATTAGAGGCTAAAACATACAGGATCCATATTGAGCGCGTGCCATAGGTGTCGCATATCATGCAGCAAATCAGTTGCCATTCAGATCAATGCAGCGTCACATACAGGATGCATATCAGCTCTGTTGCAGCTTTGTATCAGAATCGTATTGAGCGCAGCTCTGCTAAACATAGGCAACTAGTCTATTTTCTCTGCTCGACGCTTCCAACATGCGTCACTCTAGACAGAGAAGATCGTTCTAGACAGGATGTCAAACACGAAAAACGCACATGTCGTCTGGTAAACTTCAAAATAAAACACCATATGCTGACTCCCGACTGTGTATCAGTTGGTGTAGATGAGAAATACTTCCTGGATTTATCAGTAACACAGAACAATCCGATGGTCAATCCCTGATCCATGTTGACCCCAACAGGACTTTGAACTGCCAACTCTGTCTGAAGGTAACAGCACAGCATAAAGGAACATAGTTTACTTTATTAAACACGAGTAAAGGTCCTTACACACCGGGGCTAGCGTGAATATAGAATGAGAAATTATGAAATATTCAGAGGTGAATTTTGATGCGCCTGACTATACACATCAAGCCCGATGCGATTTTGCGACTTTCCGGGGGGAAAAAGACGCATCCTGGGGAAGACTTCCCGGAGAAAGTCCCTCCTCCTTTGCCTCTGATTGGCTAGAAAAGCTGGAAACAAAAACGGTCCCGTGTGAAAGGACCTTAACCCTGCAAAAACCGAATCTGTAAAATTGTGTTGTTTTTTCATATATAGTAGAAGCTCAACAGTCACTGAATTATATCCAAATTAGCAGGAAATAGACCACAGAAAGGCAAAACAACCTGTTGTGAGCATGTAGTTTCCTCTATACTGAGCCCAGCTGACCGGGGCTGCACTACACTGCTGCTACGCTTCAAATACGCATCCTGTGGGCGATACCCAGGGCTGCACTATGGAACAACTACGGAACACTGACGGATCGCGCTCAATTTGGATCCTGTATCTTTTCAGCTTAAGTGTGATGTCATGTTTGTCAGTATGCAGATCTCACGTCACTCCTGCTTAATTGTCATACAACTATTTGTTTAGAAAATATGAAGAGCATTCCATCTCTTAAGGTAATACCAAAACACTTACGAATACAGAGGATTTTTTGAATCTAGGTTCCCCTGACACATACCATTGGGTTAAAAAGTAGCTTTTATTAGCTTGCCTGTATCACAATAATCTCCCAAAGAATTCACCAATGTTTATCTGTTCATAATTTGAAAATATTTTTTAAGTTTGAGACACACTAAGAGTTGACGTCACATCCAGATTAATAATCAGAAGCAGGCAGACAGACATCAGCACCTCATGCTACAAAGAGTTTAACTTTGAGTAAAAAACACTAAGAGCTGCATAAACACTTTTCCCTCTCCTTTTTTGCTTTTACAAAGCTGTGCAATCACCATGCCTTTCCTGCAACAGTATAATAATATTGCTACAGCGTATGATTTACATTGGGCCTTAGCATTTCAGGAGCATCAGGTGTCAACACTCAGAAGGGTAGACAGAAAAAAGCACTGCTCCACTTTATGAACTACCTCTGGTCCCGGCTCAGCTGTAATGTCTCTTTAATGAAGCTTTTTGTGCCAAATTACAGTAACATAAATAAAAAGGGCAAATGCATCAATGTCTGTTTTTTTTAAGTCCCACTGTCAGTGCTGATGTCTTCATGCTAGCAGTTTTTTAACTTTGCACCACACTTGAGAAGTAAATCAACACCAAAAGGCAGAAAAGTGCAGCTGAAGAGGTCCTAAAATATACAACCTTGCGCCGTGGATGAGTGAACAAGCTGCTGTAGTTGAGGAATTGAGAGTGGAAATGAGCGTAATAGTCTGACAGGAACAGAAATTTATAAACCAAAAGGTTTACATTTGCCATCTTATTCAAGGTCAAAAGTATGTTGTTTAAAAGTTTAATCTGCACACAGAGATACAGTAGGTCCATCAGTGGTTAGCATAGCTCTACATACAGAGTGGTAACTGAGGTAAACAGCTATCTTAAAAGACCAACTTTTACTCCTTCAAAACATTTCATCCTTTTTCATGTGACTGTTTAACAGTGAAAAATCTCCATCAAACTGCAGCTATATCACATTTCTGTTTTTAGAGAAATCTGTTTCTTTTAAAAGTGACAGACATTGCAGATTCCAGCTAACGTAACTTGAAGCTCGGCACACAGAGCCAGGAAACAAGAATGGTATTGTTACGTTTAGTCTGGTTTACTTAAAACATGTTTGCTTTCTTTGTTGAGGTTATATACCACACTAATATCTGTGCTGTCAGCATTTAAAGAAAACATTTTTCAGCTCAAAGAGATGCAGATTCAAGCTAACGTAACTAAGCTAGCTGTTTAGCTGTTGCTGCTAAACTCAGATCATGAAGTAGAGCACATTCAATATCACACAAACATACAATAAATATCCTGTATTGGGACTCTGAGATTTAGCAAAATAAATATGAAAGAGAGCATTCATTTTATACTTGAACACATTAAAAACAATCTTATTATGACAGCTTCTGTTATAATCTGTTGGCTGGGGGGAAAAAAATCATCGAAGATTGCTAACCAACATTCGATAACAAAACAGGAGAAGGTCAAGTTTGAGTTTATTCCCATGGATTATCATCACCTCATTATCTAATAAAAGTCACTATGTGGAGTTTTTGGCTCGTGTCAAATTAGTGTTACTCCTGATAAGTCTCCATGACCTACGAAGAGAAGTGGGATTATCAGTGATGAAATTTCTTTAAGGTGAATTTTGAGTCCAGTAAAAAAAACCTGTCCGTGTCCGTGTTAAGAGCTCAGCTGGTCAAGTTTGGCTGTCAGGTGTGAAGGTCTTGCACACTGAATCCAACACTGTTAACAGGATCTCATGGGGTTCGAATACATTTGCACACTGATTCCAAAACTTTCAACCATCATATTTTTTATGGATCCATTTAATGTGCTCTCCAGTGCTGTGAGTGGCTGAATCACAGACTGGACCACACCAAAATCTACAGAGAAGTAATCAGGACAATTCTGCAGCTGAAACTGTCTGTGCTGTTGTCATTTTTCAGGAGTTGGTGGTGTTGGTGTTCTCAGTTTCTTTTTCAGTGCTCGATTCCTTAATTTTTCTATCGCCTGATACTGGAGCAGGATCAGCAAAATCGATTTTAAGGAAGAAACTACAGCCAGGATTTTGCCCAGTAAAAGAGCCAAACGGCTTTTACAGGATTTAATGTTTGAGCCAACATGTGAACGCTTCACTGCTCTTTAAGGACGAAAGAGTTAAATTGTGTGTATTTGCTGGAGACGGGTGTGATTCAGGAGCTTTGAGGCTTGTATCACATGCTTTGATGAAGAACATATCTTCATGACACTTGAGGTGATGGTGCTCATGGGAAATGCAGTCTTAATCCTGGAGAAAGGGGTTACCATAATTGAAACGAAATGAAAACTCCTCACAGTGGGTTTAAATAGAATCTGAAACATTTCATCCAAAGTTATCTGAATGTCATCCATGGAAACAGAGTATTTTAAGGCCGCTATCAAACAGTTTCAAACCCTTATTTTGTGTGTGTGTGTGTGTGTGTGTGTGTGTGTGTGTGTGTGTGTGTGTGTGTGTGTGTGTGTGTGTGTGTGTGTGTGTGTGTGTGTGTCTGTGGATGAAAAAGTAACTCAAAATATGGGGAAACAAACCTCTTTTGAGTGGATTCACTGCAGATGGGAGAGGAAATATGTTGGGCTTTTTTTGTAATTTGGACCCTAAGGGGCGCCTGCAGTCTCCCTTCAGTACATTCTGTCGTGTAATTAACTTTTTAGTTGTATCAGCTCTTCTTGACCCGACTCGCCTCTGTGGTTCGCTGACAGATTTATCAAAGTTGGCGCAAAATCACGGCTGCAGGGAGAGGAATAAAAGTACATGCTTAGTGTTTCTAAAAAAAAGCATTTAAATGTTAAAGATGGGACTTTTTGGTTCATATTTCTTGAACCTGGTGTGAGATCAAAAATGCAAAGAGGCAGAGAGAGTCAAGGGCAGAGCAGCAGGGATTTCAGATGTGCTGTGACTTTGTGTTAGCGCGCCTTTGTTTATCTGTGTGTGTACATGCCTGAGAAATGGCAGCACATGAGTGTGTGTGTTTGTGTATTAGAAATCGAAGAAGAAGGACGGCGCCTGTGTGTGTCTATGTGTGTGTGTGTGTGTTTTAACGTTGATGCGTCAGGACCTACAGAGTGTGAAATGGAGCAGGGAGGCTCAGGCTTCAGCCGCCGCACACTGCAACACACACACATCTGCCTCACTCACCCTTCCCTCCAACCCCTCACCCCGGTCTTTTTTTTTCTCCATTTACTCTTCTCCTTTCCCGCTTCCATTTTCATCCCCTTCCTCCCTCCTTTACCCTCTTTTTCCATCTCTTCAACCTTCTCTATATCTTCCCGTCGCTGCTTTATTCCTCCGCTTTATCTCTGTGGATAAAGCCCTCCCTGCTGTGGAGTTTGTTTTTCCCCCTGCTCTGCCTTTATCTTCCGTTTGGATGCCGTGTATGTGCAGCAGCATGGAGAGAGAGAGAGAGTTATAGACAGAGAGAGAGGAGAGAGACAGCATCCCCATGTCAGGCCAATGATGGATTAGAATACTAAAATACTGGAGAGAGAAAGCAGACACACTAGACTCTCAAATCTGACATGCTGTGTGTAAATGTGTGCGTGTGTGTGTGCGCGCTTTTGTGCGTGTAAATCTACTGCACGGTAATAGAACAATAAAAGAACGCACACTCACACACATCCGCCTTCTCTGTTCCTCTCTCACCCTGCAGGCTTCTTCCTCTATCTCTCTCTGTCTCTCTCTCTGACTTGATTTAACGCATGGCTTCTCCGCTTGTTTATTTCAGTACATATTAATGTAAATCACCGGTGTCCACTCCCGCCTCTCTCTTTCCATCCCCTGTCTCTCTTCCTGCCTCCGTCCATCCCTCTTGTCGTCCTGTCGCCGGGTGTCTGCCCCTGACGACAAACAGCCCAGACAACAATTAAAACGAACAACAGGCCCCGGTAAAAGGCCGTCACTCCAGCCCCCACCGGCCACGTCAATCACACACCGCCCTCTCCCCAATGACCTCAATTAACCCCGCTAGTTGGCTATAGGCGGAGGGGGTTTCGACCTGGCTTTCTAATTCTATGTAACACAGCAGAGGATGGATGGAGAGGGCAATTCTGAGGTCAGAGGAAAACGCTCATCGCTTTTTGAGCAAATTCACTGTACACCCCACGCTTGCTTTTGTCAAACTTAGAGCAGGATTGTCTCGTTGTTAGAGATCAGCCTTCACAGTGTAATCAGACTGTTACTGCCCTTGACCAGATACACCTCAGAGGGCTTTTGCTAAGATGTGTAAGAAAACAAGCAGGTTTAAACATTTCTAAACCTGCTCCAGCAGATAGGCTAAAGTGGCTTCAGCATCATCCCTGCTGGCAATACGTCCAATCAAATTACATCCACTTAAGGTTGATGTTTCCCCCCCCGACAGGCTCAGATTGTTATTCTGAGTGTCTAACAACATCACAGCAAAGATCCCTACAGAGATAGACCTTTATGTGTAAAGTAAGAGCCTCTTTTTTTTTTTTTAAACAGGGAAGCCTTTATATTACCGTCTTTAAAGCCACAAGCCTCCACTGACAGAATTGCTGGATTTATCTGAGAGGATGGAGTAATTGCTGCATTGAAAAATAAAGCCAATGCAGAGGTGCGGCAAGCTGATATTCCTTGAGTGTCTACTTTAATCTGAGGAATATCAATTGAGTTTCATGTGTGAAATGGGGACTTGGACAGCAGAAATGAACATTTTTCCATTCTGATTCAGAATTCATCACAGCTGTGCAGGGCCTAATGTTCATTTTTTTATAACTCAGACGTTTTGATGACATTATGACTGTAAGTCAGGTATAAACTTGCATGATTAGTGAGCTGATTGACAAGAGTCTGTATTTACATCAGTGTCGTCTCTTTGCATGTTTCTAGATTTTGTTTAGTTAGTGTCAGCATTTCTATTATGATAATCACTATTTTTGGATGTCATAACCAGTGTAAAGAGTGACAACAAACAATCAACATCAACCTTGTTTTTTCTTTGATCATGATTTGCTAATAATACATCACTGATGATCCGATGAAAACTCAAATGGATGTGACTTTACACTCTAAGAATTGATTGGTACTTAATTTGTTTTTATTTGTCAAAGTTAGTCAGCGTCTTCCAGTCATCATAAATCTGAGCTGTGGGAACTTCTGATTGATTTGGCGTGGTCTCAAAAAGGTCAAACCATTTTAGGGTGCAATAATGTGGATAATAAAGAAGAATTGATGTTGAGCAGTAGAAAACAATCCAAACAGAGAGACACAAAAACATAGCAGAGCCAAATAAGGCCTGAATGATTTTGTTTGAATTCTATCACACCACAGGAAAAAAAAAAAAAAAAGTGAAAATGTGCTGTAGATGCAACAAGTGACAGGTTGAAACGACGTTCAGGTCTCAAAGTTTGTTAGTAAAATCATTAAAAATGTGTTGAAAATTGTTGATCTAACTCAAGGATTCCTGTAAAAATCCTATAGACTGGCGGACATTTGGCTTATAAAAAACATTGATACAACTTCCAACCAAAAATACTTCTGCTCTTTTGTCCTCACACATGTGGGCCAGACCACATGCTCAAGTCTCCTGGACATTTGGCAAAACAGTTACGACACCAAAACATCTTATAATTTCCTTTTGGAAGTGTTTTGGGCAACACAGACAGCAAACTCAAAGACAAGAACAGGGCTGCATAAAGCACCACTGAGTTTGTAATGACAGGTCATATTTAAAGAAGAGCTGCACTCAATCTTGGTAGTTCAGGTGAACAGTCATTTAAAAACATTTTTTTGAGGTTGTTATAACCTCAAAAAAATTCTTTACAGTACAGTGTTTTTATTTAAAGTGATTGGTTGATTTCTGAAAGTGATTACTGTTCAGAAAACTGTCAAATGAAGAGATTTGATGTGCGGGGTATTTATTTAAACTTAGTTTTGAAAAAGGTTTTAAAAAGTAACAGTCCTGTTATCTCTTCATCATTTAGACTCTAAATTTAGCTCCTCAAAGAGTGACTCTTCATCGTCACACAGTAAGTTTGTTCACCTTTTCCAAATCGGTCATAACCTGCGTCTGCGGGATGATTCTCGTCTTAATGAAAACAGCTTATGGAGACGTTTGGCGTCATTAGAGAGGATGAATGTTTCATTGTAATCAGCGGGTTAGATTACGCTGATTACAGATTGTTGTTTGTGACTCTTAGTTAACACTGTGCCACACTCCTCCTCCTCCTCTTCCTCTTCCTCACAGAGCCTCACTGTTTCCTTCACAGTCTGACACAGAGGTGAGGTATCTCAGGTGAGCCGGCAGAGCTTTACTCACCGTCTTATCGCTGTTTCTCTGACTGACACACGCTTTGTCTGAGGGCTGTGCTCAGTGTGTATGTTTGTGTGTGTGTGTGTGTCTTTGTGTGTGTGCAGTTGTGTATTACAGCAGCTCCTGTAGAAAGAGAGGGAGAGGTTCAGGTACACTGCAGACCTGTCACCTCTCTCTCTCTCCCTGTCTCTGCGTCTCTTCCTCTCTGCTCATCCCTTCATTCTCTTTGTAGTTTGAATCCTCGGTGGTACCTCCTTTACTTCCTTTATCCATCCTTTGCTTTCTGCATCCTCCTCTCCTCCTCTTTTCTTCTTTTCCCTTCCCTCTTTCCTTTTTCATCCTTCCTTCTCTCACTGAATCCTCTCTGTTATCCACGTTTATTCCTTTTTCCCTCTCTCCAGGTTTCCTTTCTCATTTTCTCTCTCTTAGATTTTTATTCTCCATCTTTTCATCCTTCTGTCTTCTCTTCCCTTCTTTTTTTCTCCTAAACTTTCCCTCTTCTCGTTCTCATCAAACTTTGTTTTTATACAACTTTTCTTTTCTGCAATGTCCTTTCCTCACCTATGGTATCCTCCTCTTCTTTTTGCATCCTTTTCCTTTTCTCTTTTCCTATTTCCCTCTTCTTCTGCTTTCTTCCAGCCTTTCCTTCTTTCCCTCCTTCATTCCTGAACCCATCCTCCATCTCCAGGCTGTTTTCCCTTGTCAGTTTTCCTCCTCCTACACTCTCTTCTTCCCCTTTTTTTTGTTCTTGCTCTTTGTGTCTTTACTTTTAAATCCTTCCCTTCCTTTTCTTATTCTTATCTTTCCATCTATTGTGTCCCTTCCTCATCTTGCATTTTCTCTGTTTTTCTTCTTCCAAATAGTGAGTCCGAGCCCGTGCAGCAACATGAGAAATGAGTCTCCACTAAAGGCTGGCTGTAGAGTGCTAGAAACCACATTCACACTGAGTTTGGAGCAAAAGTGAACTTATGAACTGACTTCTAAACAGTTTTGGTCTGAACAGATCAGGGCTCCCATGGAACCCACATTTTTATTTTTCATATAACAAATCCATTTTGAAGATATGAAGGTTTTAGCCAATCAGAGGAATAGCTGACTTGACTGACAACTGGGCACATTGTAGCTAGAAGGCCCACCTTTGCTAGGTTGAGTCAGCATTACCAATATGGTGACCACTATACCAATAGGCTTCTACATCACCGACATATTCTGCAGTTATTATACAGTGTGTTGTCCATCCTGTAACACCAATGGAGGGGAGGAGGAGGAGGACAGAGACGTCTTTTAATTGATTTGTGTTTCCAGACATGTAGAGCTGTCTACAAACTACAGTCTATATTGTATTTGTTTTTGTAAAACTGTGTAACATTCTGGAAAAGACAGAGAAAATACTTCATTTTTTGTTGCTGCTCCAACAATAATCTTTCAGCGTTAGCATGAATTCTTTATCCTGTTCAGATTTTGGGGATGCTGATTGATACGTTGCTTTGCTTTACTGCACTTCAGCTGACCATTAATCCTCCTTGTTCCTCCAGTGTGAGAGTCACCTTTTTGACCCTTTTCTCTTATCTTTTTAAATCAACAGAGAAGTGTCTTCCTGTGATGTTTCACTGTTTGTTTGACTTTGTTCTCTGTGGATCAGTTCCCTAAATGTGAGATACTCAATCATCAGGTTATTCACTTTGTCATCTCAGACATACAATGAAAAGATTTTAAAACAATCACAGACTTTCTTTATATTTCAAGGGGACAAATCCATCTTTTATTCGACCAATTTGATTATTTGTGTTTGCAAACTCTGCAGCAAGCCAGTCGGGAAAAAGGAAAATGTGTTCAGTGACGTTCTGTATGTAGTGACATATTGATGGAAAAGCAGTCCTAAACCAGGACCCAATAACTTTGTAGGAAATGTGTATGTGTCTCCTCTTAATGTTGTCATTCGTTATTTCTTCCCTCTGTTCCCACATTTCCTCCTTCTGGTCTCCCTCCAGCTCCATCATCCTTTTTTTCTATCCTTCAACTCCCAGCTGAAGTCCATTTTCATCCCCTTCTCTCTTTTCTTTTTCCTCCACTCATTGTTTGTTCTACTTCTTATCTGCTCACTCGTCCCCCTCCTTCTCGTTCCTCCCTTCCTCTCTCTCTCTCTCTCCTCTGTCTCCTTGCCCTCCACCATCACGGTGCCCCTGCAGATGGAAGTTAATTTTACGTGCTCACGAGAAATAGGAAAAAAAATTAGTGTCAGCAAAAGATTTATAAGACATAGAAAATCAAGAGCGGGCGATTCTCTCTGCTGTGTTTGTGCTCCAGGGTCCTTTCTGCTCTCGCTATAGTGCGCTATTTCTATCACTGCCTGATGCCCCCCCTCCTCAAACACACACACACACACACACACACACACACACACACACTCTGAGTGCTCCCCCCCAGGAGCCTGTCAGATGATAAAGAGATGTTGTCAGGGACTGATTATCAGCCAGGCAACTAAAAACAAGTAAAACATCAAACGCACAAAGACCACACAGGGACTTGGCCTTATTTTTTCCCCTAATTTCTCCTCCATAAATCTTTCCCTCCGACTCCTTCTCCAACTCTTTTCATTTTGTCTCTGTGTCGCTGTCAGAAGTAGCGCGTGTGTGTGTGTTTCTTTCTTTCTTTTTTTTTTTTTTTGCCTGCTGGGGAGCTATTTGATTTGTTCTGCCATTTTAGAGCTCATATTGTTTCTGGTGTGTTGTTTTTATTATGACGGCTTTATTCATATCGCTGCCTGTGGCGGCGCAGGTCCCGGTCCCTGAGTCACCGGGGAGCGAGATAGGGACGGGGATAAAGCAATAAAGCAAGAAAGAGCTGCATCGGCAGGCAGTATGTGTGCTAATGTGTGTGTGTGCTTCTGTGTGTGTGTGTTCAGTTTGTGTGGCTGTGCTGACGTGGGTGGGAACGATGAAGTGCAAGACTCAAATTATGACAAAAAGCTTTACTCAATTTTCTTTGCAATCCCCGCCTGATCCCTGCACACACACAAACACACAAACTCGACACACTTGGCACTTGATGTTCATTAAACAATGAGAGACAAGTGTGTCGTTTGTCATTCAGAGCGGCGGTGGCAGGAGGAAGAGGATCGCTCCATTCATCACTGTGATAAAGTTTGGTGGATATGTGGACTGTCAGCGCCATCCTCACCTCCAGACACAGACACAGACAGGTGAGATGCAACCAATGGGACAGAACCAGCCTTCATTCATAAGTTAAACAAACAAACAAACAAACAAACAAAACAACAATAAGGTCTGGCTGCAGCTGTATGGCTGTCCTGTAAATGTGGGTGTTCACATCTAAGCACAGAGTTCACTATCTGGTCCTTTACGGTCACATTTCCAATCAGCTGTCGCCTAAAAGCAAAAACTTAAAGACAAATTTTTGAACGTCTTTATTTCACATCTTAGGCTGGAAATATACTTGCTTTCAACAACTTTGAATTCCCACAAACAACCGACTCAGTCTTGAACATAACTGCACACATGCAGTACTTAACTGCACGATACGCCTTTCCTCTAGATGTCCGAATGTATGTCTAAGAGGGATACACATAATGTCAGAACTAGACAGATGTACTGTATCTGAACTATCATAGCAAGCTAGGAAAAAACCTCTCCTGTCCTCCAATTGTCTCATAAAACCTGATATGTCTTCAGCTCTCTGTACTACAGAGTGACAAGCAATGGAAACTTCAGAAAACCGTTGTTTCTTCTCCAGGAAGATATTTGCCGTTAAGGGTAAAGATAGGGCAAATTAATCATGAATTAATAATGACTCTTAATGGCAAGACTATTTAGACCGGTAAAAACCATTTTAAGTACTAAAGTGAATGGGTCCAGGATCCTTTATTTCGTTCCATATTTCCAGTCATTAGTAATGCTTACATGCATGTGGAGGTGTCGCCTACATTCAATAAGATTTACGCAGCATGTGACGAAGCGCATAGCAACAGAAACATAAACAGACAGAGGCATGCAAAAGAAGAAACACACTTTTCTCAACAATGAACTCTGTATGTGCTGTTGCTTGTACTTGTAATGGATAAACACCACACACTGTAGTTGGCCCACATGTATGTGGACGCATGAAATTGGCTGTTTCTGACCTTTAAATTTTCCTGTATTTTAATGTGTCCCTGGTTTGTTGTATGCTGTACAATAACCCTGATAAGGGCTTCGACCTGAAAGTTGTTCCTTGACTACAAATGCTGCTGGAGTTTCAACCTTTTGAGACTTCCACTCCTTTGCTATGAAAATACATCCCTTGGTTGAAAACAACCACAATAGTGGACTCAACCTTACAGGGATGGGAGCTGCCATCTTGGCTGTGTACGAATACACTGAAGTGGCGCTCCTTTGTCCCATTTTTAGAGAAGGGCTGTGATTGGGTCTGTGTATCTGACACAGCAGGAAAAACACTCAGGATAAAATTGGTTCCAGTTGCATATGTTTGCAAATACTCACAAAAACTGATGGGGGAGGTTTGCAAGATGCATGACAGGAGTCATAGGGGTTACTGTCATGTTGATTCTGGGTCAAATGACCCAATCAGTGACACCAGCTCAGTATTTCCAACATTTTCCTTAAACTTAGACTTATCATTTGGTTCTGCAGATTGAACTTCGACTTGTAATATTTGATCTCTTTTGAGTTATCTTGACCAGCGTGTTTGTAACTTTGTCAACAGCTTCACTTCTAAACTTTCTCCAGTTGTTGCTGCGTTAACTCCCCTCTGCTCCCTCATTGTCCTTCTGCTGTTACATACTGTAGCTTGCATCTACGCCATGTCAACTTTTGAGAATTTGCACCAAACATACACTAGGGACATGAGGCAGCCATCATACATTCAAATACATTTAGTTAACAGCAAGTATATCTGCAGCCTTAGCTTTAAAACAGCTCTAAAATGTCCGTTTTTGCATTACTAAAAAAGCTGCATGTAAACCAACGGATGTGCAAACATCGTCACCGTTCTCCTTCTTCAGCTTTAGATGTTTTTAGTCATCATATTTTCTGATTTGAAATCCGTCTGAATCTACATCTATGACAGCTTTTACTCTTGGTTAATGGCTGCATGTGAACACCCAGACTCTGACCTGGTCCTCTGAGCCTCCAGGACATTTACAAATCACTGCAGCTGCAGACAAACAGCATTGAACAAAGTGCCATTTTCAAAGAAGGAAAGAAGGGAGCAAGGACAGAAGTGAGGAATCAAGGGGATGCTACTGACTAAATGTGAAGTCCTTTTCTTCACTTAGCTTCCAGTCATGTCATAGCCATCAGTCCAGGATTTCTGGCAGGTCCATAGTATGTAATAGTGTGCATGTGCATGTTTATATGTGTGTATGTGTGAGTGTGTGTCTTCTTTTTACATCCTTCATCTAACCCCAGCTGAAGGAGACGCTCAGGAGCAACAGGAGAAGCAGGACAGGTGCAGGAGGGCTGGTGGGGAGTGAAGCAGCGCCCCCGGTGCCAGTGGAGCCCAGGTTAGAGACGGTGGCCCTCTCTGAGTACAGCGGGATGACGTCAAACTGACCGCCTTCGTTGCTCTCCTCTTCTGTCTGAGTCAGCTCCTCCTCTTCCTCACTCTCCACCACCTTAAGGGGGTGACACAGGGTGAGACAAAACCATCAGGGAGGTTTTCAGAGAAGACGAAAAAAAAACAATACTTTAATGGTGAGTCTCAATTTTACTATGAATGGTAAAACTAATCGCTGAGTCGGATGTATTTTTTTTCTATTAAGTTGTCTTTTTACAGTAATTACACATTTGGAGTTTCACTTTATCCATATGACTACATTCCTGTGAATCTTTTTGGAGCCTGCTCTGCATGTTGATATTCAGCCTGTTGATAAATGATCTTCAGGAGCTATACAATATTGCCAGACATATCCACTATGCTGCTGTGAAAACAAACTCTGAAAACTCTTTCATATTTGGGGCTATTGGTAATCACACAAAAAGAGGACAAATAATAAACAGTCTTTCCAGGCTTCTTTTTGGAGGACGCCCTCCGCAGCGCTTACAGCAACACTCGTTGCTGTCTTCAGACATCTCTTGAACTCTTCAACTACTTCACGAAAATTGTAATATGCCTCGCTGGTGGCGGATGTAAAGGTGAGGAGAGGAGCTGATGTGATTGGTGAAAACAGGACTCGGCTGTGTTAAACCCACTTCACGCCAGCTCCCCTCACTCTTTCCAACTTACGTTGCTGGAAGGAGCTGAGTTAGGGAGAGGGGATACTTACGCCGGGCTGCGCCGCTCACCAAAATACCAAAGTGTGCCAGGCCTCATCGGCATGGCAGACCTGACTTAAGCCACGCCTGTGCCACCCACGCTGGTGAGGCATGAAAATAGAACCCTAAATGTTACTTCTTCTGTTTTGGTGCCAAAACCTTTAAAAGATGACATTTTATGTTTTCCTATGTCGTCTTCCACCCTGTGAAGAAGGTTTGCTTCTTTTTGACAACTGCTAATATCTCTCTAAAAGGGTCTGCAGAGCAAAACGCTAATGCTATAGGAAGCCAAAGGATAAGGCAAAAAGGAGGAAAAGGATAGTGCAATGTAAAGCCAAAGGATAATGATATATCGAGGCAAAAACTAATGCTATATGGAGACAATTGCTAATGCTTAATGAGGCAATACAATAATAGTGTATACAGCCAATTGATAATGCTATAAATGGAGTCAAAGTCTGATGTTATATGGACCAAAAGATAATGCTATATGCAGCCAAGACTCGTGCTATTTAGGGGCCAAAGGATGAAGCTAAAAAGAGCCAAAACAAATGCAACACGGAGCCACACCATCATTCAAAATTGAGCTTTGGCCTAATGTATTAATGGGGTCCTAATGCAAATGCTTCATTGAGCCAAAAGATAACTCCGTATGGAGCCAAACTGTAATACTATTTTGGGCCAAAGGATAATGCTAAAATAAACCAAGGCCAATGCAACCTGAAACCACAAGATTATGCTTAACTGAGCAGTAGGCCAGTGTGTTATCGGGCCTGAACAAAAAGCAAATGCTTTAGGAGGCAGAAGGGTAATGCACGTTGGCTCTTTGTCTTTTTTTTTTTTTTTTAAACGATATCTGAATAAATATGTAATGAACAAAGATCTGAAGACTGCCTGTATAATCCTGCTTCTTTGTTGAAATCGTGTGTTTTGCTTGTGACAATATATGGTACGTTGAATACGAGTTAATTTGATTCAGAGGAGTCTTAATTTTAAACTTTGAAGCTCTTGATGAAAATGACTGAGTGCTGTTTTTATTGGCGTTGAGAGCTGGAGACACCCAGCTGTTTATTCTCCATGAGATGCAGAAACATCTGGAGGAGCCCTGGGCTGCTGCTGGGTGATAGTTTGCAGATTGTTCTTCTTCTGATAACGGCACACTGCTCCATCATTTCTGTGAAATACTGCCTCTGATAGCAGCTCCTGTCTGAGTGTTCACATTTTTTGACTTTTATTTTGACTTTTCATCATCTCTTCTGACAGTTGCAGAAGCTTTAAACAGTCAACTTTTCCTGCTTCAGGGTACAGAAACACATCACTGCCAGAGTTTCCTAAATTTATGACAGAGCAACGAGACGATGATTTTATCCATTAGTGTGAAATGGATTCTGATCATTTTTGTGTACGGACTATCCCAGCCAGAACAGAGACCACAGTCTGAATGGGTTTTAACTCTCCTCCAGCCTACACATTTATTCTAAATCACTGCCTGTTATTTTAAAGGCTCATGACCTTTCCTCTTATCTCCTCAGTCTGTAACACATCGGAGGACAGAAATAACCTGAAGAAACTGTGAGTGCATCCTCGAGAATCAGTGAAGTGAATAAAACTTGTGGGTCCCTGAGCTCCAGCACACTCATTTTAACAGTATTTTAGCATAAATGTTTGTTTTATTTTGCTGCAACACCACATAAAGTTGTGACACGTCGTAGATCACATTTCACCTTAAATTAAGATTTTATATGAATCCCTAATATGTAAAAGCATTAATATTTATGGACCTCATCTATAGGAATGGGTGACAGCAAACATTTTAAAATAAATTAGTTGATAAAATACTGGTACTTTTAAAAACAGTTTTACAGTTAGTGACACTACTTTATTAGAACAAAACAAAAGAAAAAAATCATTATTTTGAAAAAAGTTCACACTTAAATACAAACAACATAACACAAACAGGAATTTTAAGATCTAGTGAGTAAAAAACAGAGTTAAAGTGTTGTTGCTAATATCTATGAAATGTGTATCAAGAGGTAATTAACCCCATAAACCAGTATGACACTTTCTTGGTGAGCAGGACTTAACTGGAGGAACAATAGAAACCCTTAGAGTGGGCGCACACTACAAGATAACTGTGCCGATTCTGGGGTCGATTCCCCTTCAGACTTAAATCAGCAAAGGCAAGATTATCAGCTGGTTTTTAAACATCATCTTGTCAGAATATCCTGGAAGAACACAATAGCCAATCAGAAGGCAAGATGATTGAAGGAAGACAAGGGCATGACAAATGCAGCTGTAGCAGCAGCAGTAGTAAACACGAAGCACAGACATCAGAAATGAAGAATCTACTAGTTTAAACATGGCAACGTGAAGAGTGTTTACTTAACATGTTCAGTAAAACATACCAACACTGAACTGGCAAAGGGGAGGCATGAAAGAGAAACGACTACTGCAGTGGAAGTACCAGGAAACTGAGCAGTGAACAACAGTGAGGTCCTGTTCCTGATTCAAAAAGTTGAAGTCCTGATTCCTTTAGTAGAGAAGCCTCACATCAGGATGGTAATTGCTGACGTTACAAAACCAAGAGCTTGCAAAATAGAAGGGACAGACTCACATCACTCATATGTAGCTACTAGCAAGGATTCATCTACAACATCAATGTATGGATATATATTCCTATGATCCAACTACATCGATCTGTGTTCGGCAAGTTGGTCTACCGGACAACATATATCAATAAATTGATTGTATCGATACAAGGAAATAACCCAAAATTGAAGCACGGCAGGCTGTACATGAATGTGTTTTTTTATTATTATTATGATAAAGAAGTGAAGCGTTACTGTCTGTGTACTGTACCGTGTCATCACCACACGCCAGCAGACAACAAAACATAGCATGGCAGACGGTGGAGGAGAAGTTGGCGAGCTAGAATTATCAAGCCACCACTGTATTATTTCTATGCTGAAAAACAAGAGCAGAAGTAGCAGGAAAATCTGCTGTTATTATTGAATATTTAAATTTAGAATAGAAAAGGTTAATCTTATGTTAATTCAACTTGGTGGAATTTTTGGCTAAAAAGTTACTGAATTGATTTCCAGTTACTGAATTGTTTCGAATTGTATCATTTTAAATGACTCAATATCATCCTTGAATCGAATTGAATCGCCAACCACAAATCATGATACTGATCAATTTGTTGTTAAAATTAATCGTTACACCAATAGCAACTAAACTTAACAGCAGAGAATACAGATGAAACATGAGAACGTCGATTAAGAAAGAAGGAGAAATATCTAGTTCGAATATAGTTGTTGGTGTGTGAAAAGTCCTGAACCAAGAAATCATCACTGTAGATGAATGGACTGATCTGGTACATTTTTGTGATATATTTCTGTTTACCGCTTGAGTTTTTCCCTGTCATGCTGAACTCATGTTCAGGTGTGATGTATCATCAAATTTCTATACACAGTATTTCTCTTTGATGTGCATCAAAATAGTAAAAAGAGAACTACAACAGAGAATAAAAGGCTGCTTTTCCACCCATACAATTATGAAAGTGCCATGTGCTCTGTGATCGGCTTCAGCTAATGAGCAGAGTATCATAAATAAATGTAAACAAGATAAAGTGAAGAGTTTTGTGGTTCAAACCCTGCCTCACTCTATTTTTAATGCATCCCTTGTGGAAAGGAAACATTTCAAACAAAGAGCAGTAATCTGTGTTTCTGAGCGCGACACTTCTTCTTTCCTCTCTCTCTGAGCCCATCCTCGGCTTTTTGAAGTGAAACCTTTCAAATTCTGGAAAAATCACTTTAGAGAAACAAGCCAAAGCTCCTCAGGAAGACAAGACAGGAGGCTGAGTGACGGACAGATGAGGAGGTATGGAGCAGGTACAGATGGAGAGAGAGGAATGGATAAAGTGAGAGCAGAAAGTAAACAGCATGGGAGAGGATGAAAATTAAGGATGGAGGAAGTGAGGAGATGAGAGGAGAGGAGAGAAGGTGGGAAGAGGGGATTTGGGGAAGGTAGAGAAAGGGGGGAGACATATGGGCATGAATAAATTCATACTAATGAAGCCTGACTGATGCACCGCTTCCAACCAACACCTCATCTAATCCGCTCACTGGGAGAGAGACACAGAGAGGCTGAGAGAGAGAGAGAGATGGAATCCCCGCTTGTCTGGCGGCCCAGATTATCTCTGGCAGTGAGGCATGCTGGGAGCTGAGGAGCCACAGCCACGGCAGATTGCGGTCCGGCCAAGGTTACAGTAGCCAGGACCGGGATTGAATTGGACCATGTTTAACGGTCAGTGCCGGACAAGGACAGCCAGGATTTGGACATATGTGTGTGTGTGTGTGTTAGTGCCTGCATATTACCGAGCTGGCAGACCAACACGTAAACTGCCAGGAAGGATCTCAAATGCTGTAGGACCAGAACCGTGTGGGTGCTACAGACGGTGGGGCCTGATGGGTGGGGAGTGAGACTGTAGTTGTAAAAATTGACGTGTTTGTCAGCCAGATATGGAGGAGTGTCTTCAAGACCCCGCATCCTTCATATCTGAAAGAAAATCTTCATTGTGCCTTTACTGCCTGTAAACTGCATTTCATTTTTTGGGGAATTCCCCCCGTGGAACTGTTAAAGGAACATCTTATCTTCAGAAAAGTTTGGAGAAGGGCTGCCACAAAATACCAGTGATGACAATAACTGTTTTTAAACATAATGTACATAGATATCAGGTGAAAAATGGTAAAACTGTGCGCAGCAGCTACCAGTGAGCTAGCTATAGCAAAAAGATGACGTGGCCCTTTTTCAAAAGTGACGTTCGTAGATTTATTGTAAATCTAAAAACATTTCCACTTATTTTCTTTCAGTTCTTTTAGTTAAAGGAATATTCTAGCATAACATTAATTTAGGGTCAAACACACCGTAACACGAGTTAGACACCCCCTCGAGAGATGAATGTTGCCGACCGCTTGCTTTTCTAGTTATACCAACTTTAGTAATGATAGCAATACAGAGCAGTCTAAGGAGCCAACCTGCAAACCTCAACCAAAAAGCCACTCTATAGCCACAAATAATGCTCAGAACAGCACCTAACAGCACCTGGCTCGGGCCAGTCCATTACAGACTACAGCAGGGTGACGCAGCTCAAGGAAGAACATTTATGATCATTTCTTTATCATTTCCTTGAAGTAATAATCACCATATTAATCCTTTTGCACTACAGACGCCTTGCATTTCCATGAAGAAATGATCATAAATGTTCTTCCTTAAGCTGCGTCACCCTGCTGTAGTCTGTAATGGACTGACCCGAGGTCACGCTACAAACAAGTGGCTACTGTAAGAAAGTAGGTGAGTTATGTTTAGTCTCCTTGCTAAAGAAGTCAGGCAAAGCTAAAAAGATGTTTGGTGGCTGGTACTATGGCTGGGACCCTATATGTACTGTTGATGAAGTTAGGTGCTGTTCTGAGCAATATTTGTGGCATTTTGGTTGAGGCTTGTGTGTGGCTCCTCAGACTGCTGTGTATTGCTATTGTGTGGTCATTACTAAAGTTGGTATAACTAGAGAAGCAAACAGTCAGCAACATTCATCTCTTAGGGGGGTAGTCTAACTTGTGGTTACAATGTGTTTGACCCTAAATTAATTTTACGCCAGAATATCCCTTTAAGATCTACCAAACGTAGTACACCTCAAAGTAAAAGCATGCTGTGGGAATCATGGGTATTCTTGTTAATGCTTTATAATAGGTTCAGATATTTTGGAGGATAAGTCTTGTAAACAACTGTGAGGTCAGCCTGAGTATCCCTGATTGTCAAGGTCGTGTTGACCTTGATGGTTGCCGGGAAAGCTACGTTGAGTGTTCCCAGAAGTATTAATGTTCAGTTGATTTTAAGACAATGTGGTGTGTCCTTGGCTCACCTCCCAGGCTTCTGGTTATAAGGCAGGATGAGACTTGCTCATGTAAAACACACTAAAAGAGCCTCACACTTGCAACACACTTAAAGAGGTTTACATGTGTAACACACATCTATTATGTTCACAAACACACTTGGCAGCACAAAAAGAAAGGAGAGTTCCTCTGATGATTTTGGTCTAGACTCTGTGTGTCAATTGAACTGATTTCTGTATCTGGACAATCAAAATGCCCAGGCTGCTCTTCAGATCTCTTCCTGTCTCCTGTGCATTGATTTGCTGCATACTACAAGCATTTTTCCACAACAAGCACAAATTTACAATGCAGGGAATAAAGTAGCCTCGATGCAAGACAGAAAAAAACATTTAAACAACTGACTGACTGTTTTGGTGAAAATCTGATATTACTTTTTTAGACAAAACTCACCACTAAAAGAAAAAAAAAAGTATCATGTTGACTAAAAAAGAGTAGAAAACAGACCTTTAGACCACAGTCTGTAACAGGAGTCTAGTACAAGCATCAGAAATGCTGAGCTGATTATTTTCTTAAAATGTTTTGACAATGGATAAAACCACAAGTGACTGATTTTGTTCCAGTCTGGGTTAGCTTTCATATGACAGACAGGAGAAAATCCTGCTTTCTGTAGAGTTAAAGACTAAAAACAGATTTGACTCTGAATGTCTGGAGTCAGGACACTGTCAACATATGAGCAGCAGAAAGACGAACATGAGAAAAAAAATGTGAAATGAGTACAAATTGTTAAAATATCAGCAAACGGGGATTTCACTGTGCAGTGTGCATGTTGCTGAATAAACAAGTGCACACTTGTTATATTAATGATTCCTCTGGAGTTGCGAGGGTCATGCTGGTGGAGGGAAAAGACTGCTTAAATAATGACCTCAGCTTTTGGGTATCGATGACTCTTACAAGCATATTTGAACCCCAAATTGATTTCCAGAGTAACCTTAGCCTGCTGCCATCTTACGGCTAACTACTTCACGAACTACTAGTGTGATGTTGGGCGATAATCATCTAACTGCAAATTGCTTAGGGCTAAAGAGAGAGCTGAGATCAAGTCTCCTAAGCATCTCTCTGCAAAGAGACCAATGAAAGAAGATGTCACAGAGTAAATGACCTAACAGAGTCAAGGCTTTATGGGCTACTATCTGCTCACAACAGACTTGACCTTGACCTGGTCATGATTTAACAACCATTAAATTTACTCATTCAGTGCCAGATTCATTTATGCAATTTTCACCCAGTGCCACCATTGACCACAATATAAATTTCTGTATCTTTCAGGACCCACAGAATATCTTGTGCTTGGACTTGAATTAAGTGCAATTTCTCACAAGAAAGGGGTGATTTTCTTATTTCACCAGAAAAAAAGTTAGTCTATAACCCACTCCTGTGTTTAGTTATTGCCTGCTCAATGCAGCGTGGTCATATCGTCTTTGCAAACAGGAAAAAGACACCTAGGTAAAACACATTTTTACCAAGGAGAAACTTTCAAGCAGAACTCTGACCGCCTGTGTCATTTTACTTCAAACTACTTTACAAGTGGCATCAAGATCCACCCTCCTCAGGCACCCCTCCTTATCACTCTCAAGATCTGATCGTGATAGGTCACTTTGTGGCAGCTGGGAGAACCTCATGCAGTGACGTAGACCACACGGACTGCTCGCATCCTCCTCGACGGGACTGTCGTTGAATTCTGCTGTACACCAGTACTGGCACCAATGGCACAGCAACACGCCGGAAAATTGTTTCCTTTATTGTCTGCTGACGATGTGAAGGTCTGGTACCAGGATCTCCACTGGATCCAGAGACAGTAGCACCGCGGCCACGGGAGCCAATGTCCCGAGACTGTTTGCTCTTGGCTAATGACTACTCTCCTCATAGAGAAAAAACACTCCACAACTAGGCTAACTGGCACACTTGATGGCGCACTTGTCACTGGCAAGTACTTGCTTTTGTTATTGAAACATGGCTGTGACGTATTTGTCGGCTTTTCTGCATTCAGAACGACCCCAAACTTAGTCGCATGTTGGGGAAGAGCGCCCTCTAGTGGAAAACAAGAAAAATGAAAAATCCGTCCAAATCCGTCATTGGCACAAAAGGAGTTAATATACAATCGACAGGTACTCCTTCACTACTTCTCTAAGAGCACTGTAAAGTTGCCTGTCGCCCTCAGAGGCGATACTGTTGTCAGCAATAGCAAAGTTATGATATTGTGTTGACTCGAACCCTCGCATCTGTTTAAAGCTGAGAAGAACTCAAACTGTATCCGATATATCTTTTCTATCATGTGGACTCCTGTGGTCCTGAAAACAGCTTCCGGTGGGTCTCACAGACTCTGTAGGATCTTTTGAAGACTTGCCAAAACGCTGAGATAACTCCGACCCCCCGAGCTGCTCCTCTAATCTTCCAATCAAACGCTGACTCACTTTTGTGATGTCAAACAGCGATGAAGGACTCAGACTCCTCCTGAGGATGACGGCGTTCGCTAATCTGATCATACTGAGGTTTTACAGAAGGCTTTGTTTTTAAGAGACATATTTCACCCTTTCAAAATAAGACTCCCCACACACAGCAGATCTAATTTTCCTGCTTGCAGTCCTGTTTGCAATAATTGCTTTGACTATAGAGCAGTTTATTCTGACTGCAGCCACCTCACAGGAAAAGCCTTCAGGGTCACAGGAATGAATATTTAGAACTTAATTAATGTAAATAATGCATTGGTTATGATAAATATTTCAAAGTGAACAAATCTTTGCACATGTCTATGTTTGAATACTGTGTCTATATATGCCCTCTACCTTGAAACAGTTTGCAGGCATCCTGTAAAGGTTTCTTGTAAACATTCAGAGAACTTTATTAATCTCTTTAGTTGTTTTTAATTTTACTTCTATAGCTGCAACACAGAGACATTTCAATAAGTGTGCATAAGACAAACATAACAGGGTCAAAACAGTACCATGAGAGGGTACCAACCAGGGCTGTCAATGAATATTCTAAATTTTAGTATATAGTTGAATATTTAAAACAAACGAGATTCGAATGTAAAAAAAATATTACAAATACACAGCGGGACAAACTGAGTGAGAAAAAAACGAAAGATAAAAAACAAACAAAAAAACAAAACAAAACAGCAGGTGCTTTGCAAGTGAGTGCACTGTAACGACGGGTCAGGAACTGGTCACAGGAGCTGCACCTGCAGTAAGACTTGACAAAAACCGTCCATGGCCCATGTAGAGAGAGGTGGCATGATTTCAGGAGCCAAACTCAGAGAGAGTGGTCTGGACTCTAACTAACTTTAGAGGCTCCGTTTGGAAATTCTTCGGATTTTGGGCAGACACAGTAGACAGAAAAAAATGCTAGGTGAGATAAAGTTATATGCAAGCTGTGTAAGCTAGATATCGAATATGTTCAAACTTATGTGTAATTTTTCGGATGAATATTCAAACGTTATTTTGGAGAAATTTTGACAGCCCTGGTGCCAACTCCGGAAACCTCTCACAGCTGTAGTTTTAAGGCTCTTACACACTGACGCCCAAAGGCATATTTACGCATCTGTTACGCCTCGTCTGCAATGTGCAGAACTTGGAACAGTTGATCAGAATTTTAGGCCTGGTAATCATCAACCTGTTAACAAATATAAAAACATCAAGTTCTTAAAAAAATATCTCCATGGCTGCCATGACATGAAAGAGGTGTCTCAAGAGAAGCCTGACAATGCAAAAGGATTTCTGTGCAGCTCCATTTTTAAAAGTTATTAGGGGGTTCATTCGTTCTATGACTGACACTTGATACAGCCTATTGGCGTACAAAGATTAAGTAGCTCACCAGGGGGATACACTGTTTGAACGTTCCCGATGATTGCGTACAATGCTACTGCCCAAGTGGTGGTTCCAGGAACTGGACAAAATCTTGGAAATACCGACAGCAATTCAGCTTCAAATTCATATAATGACACAAGGTGGAGCCAAGTTGTCCATAGTATACAGTCTATGGTAACACGTAAACCTGGAGATGACCTGATAGTAACAAGCTGAAAGGGGACATGTTGACACCTGCCAGGGATGCTTCCCTCAATAATTAGATTCTTACCTGGTGCTTGTAAACTTGCACAAAGACAGTAGCCCAGTTAAATTACCTAGCTATGGCCACAACTTGACTTAACTGTACATGTAAACGTATTGTATTCCAGTCCTCAGGTTGGAATGACCTTTAGTTCTTGTTCTAGGTATTGAGACTGTACCTGCACCAAAACAAAAAAACTGTGCCGAAACAGTTTAGGATAAATATGTGCACCTTTACATTTATGAAATCAACTGATCATAGCTGGACAACCAGCTTTGTTGATGACAAGACAAACTGGTCAAGGTCTTGAGAAAAATGGGAATTACTTGTGACATGAACTGGTGCATACAGTCCTGACATCTAACGCTGACACGACTGAAGGGAAAATTTCAGGTTTTTGCCTTTAAAAATCAAACTAAGGAACAGCAAAGATGATAAAACAGATTTTAAAAAAGCTGAGCAATGGAGATGAAACAAAGAGAATAAATAAAGGAGAGGGAGTGTGACAGTGACATGATGAGCTCAAACCAAAGATAATAGAAAAGCCCTGCGGATCAAAGTCAGAGAGGTAATTGAAAGTGCGTGTGCTGCTGTGTACTCACAATGTTGTTGTGTTCAGGCAGGTGGTTGTTGCTCAGCAGCTCGTCCTCCTGAACCAGCGGGGAGGGTCTGGGAGCTGGAGGGGGGGTGATGTCTGCAGGCAGGGAGCCGGGGCTTCCCATCCAGCTGATAGAGTTACCTGCATGGAGACACAGCCCATCACTGCCTCTGTGTGTGCATTAGTGTGTGTTAATGTGTGTGTGTTTGCTCGCCTGGCCTGCCTGCTGCACCCCAGTGGGTGTGAACCTACATATCTGTGTGGCAGCTTTATTGTTTGAGCTGTCGGCAGGTTGATAAATCACCCAGCTTTATGGGAAGTGCATTGATGCATCGATTGTGGCTTTAGTGTTTGGACATACAGGCTCAGTGTGTATCGACAGGCTTATTGACAGCTGCTGTGATTGAGTGACAGCTGCAGGGCTCTACCCTCGGGCTGCTCCCCTCACATATCTGGAAGTCCTGCAGAAGCCCGAAGCTGCAGATCCAAACTGTGAGACAGCCCTGCATGCAGAGCGTCTGACACATTAAAACACGCAGTTCAGTTCATGCTGTGCACGCCGCTGCGGGAGGTCGGCCACCCTGAAGGAACCAGCAGACGTCCCAATAAAGACGATTTTATCTATTCCCTTTGAAATGTCCTTCGGAGAATCTTTGATGTTTACTCTGTTTTTCTTTAGATAGATTATTTTAAATCAAGGTACAGGTGTTACATATTTTTGCTCATGTTACCTCAGTTTCATCTTACAAATAAAACCATAACTATTGTGGATCAGACTCTCTCCCAACTGTCGATTCTCTGGAGTAAAACGTGTTTGCATTAATATTTAATATTTGAACACTTGAAGAGAAATGATCCTAAGCTGTGTCCTCTAGAGGACAAATATCATCCAAACCTGGTCTAAGAAATATATTGTCACAAGATGTGTTTTGCTTTTGTGTTTTCCCTGCTACCAGCAAAACACATTTCCCATAATTATACTTATACAGCAGGAGTTGATGTTACAGATTGAATCTGAAGTAATATCAACAAAAATCACTGAAAATTCTAAGAGCCTGATATGTAAAATGTTTGCACAGCTTTTGCACTGTAGACTACTTACTGATGCTGCATCCAGTAATCACACAGTCTACAGTTCAGACCAGATTAATAAATACAATTGTTTGTGTAAGTGAATTACAGGTGAAGTTAATGTAAAGACAGAATTAAGTGCAAGGTTTTGTCAGGGACACAAATAATGCTGCGCAAAATAAGTACATTTGTGGAGTGTTCAACAGTTGACTCGTAAAAAGTCAGCACACAGTCTTATCTTTGTTTTTTAAACTTAAATCAGCTGTTTCCACTTTATTTGGTGCCATGACTGTCCACTCATGTCAGCTTTGGTTAATTTTGTTGAAAATCATCGCTATATTAATTCACTGAGGTCAAGAGTGCCATTTAATGGTCAGGTGACCCTCTGCTGGATCACACAGCTAAATACTTTAAGTGTGGACACACTTTATGTTTTAAACTCATACAGCTCATTACAGCTCCAATGTGAAGAAGAAGAAGAAGAAGAAGAAGAAGAAGAAGAAGAAAAAGAAGAAGAAGAAGAAGAAGAAGAAGAAGAAGAAGAAGAAGAAGAAGAAGAAGAAGAAGAAGAAGAAGAAGAAGAAGAAGAAGAAGAAGAAGAAGAAGAAGAAGAAGAAGAAGAAGAAGAACATAAAATCACAGTCTATTCAGGCTGAGACAGCAGATGACAGATAAAGTTTCCTCTGTAGCCAGCAGTGCAGGACTGACACACAGAGCATGAACAGAGCAGTAAAACAGAGATGTGCAGACTCACGCAGGCAGCTGTTGTGTGTGAACATGCGCTGCAGCCGCAGACAGTCCTGCCACTGGTTCCCGCTGCCCTCACAGTGACACCACAGAGACACGTCTGCAGAACTGTTACTGATGTAGTTTGGAGTCATGATGGTTCCTGCAGGTCAGAGGGGGCAGAGAGCATGAAAATGTTGTGGGGCTTCATGTTTTACTTCATAAAAAATCTCTTTCAGAGGATTCAGTGATGCAAACACATCAGAAAGACACTAAAGTCCCTGCTGGATTCTGCAGCCTGTTTGACTTTGGAGTCAGCTAAATTGCATCACCGAACAAAGAGAGGAAACTCCAAAGAAAGCTGAAACAAAGCCTGCAGAACAACAAGATCCAGATTTTGAGGTTTGTCCAAAATGAGTTGAAGGACATTTAGAAAACACTTTGGATTGAATTTTTTTCTGCTTTTTGCCAACCAAACACTTTCCTGTGTCAAGAAACACAAGTTGTGACTCAAAGGTAAAACCTGGATGAAGCTTAAGTAACAAAGACAAGTGTAACACAATTTTAGGTTTTGAAGCAAGAGCTCAAAACTGCAAAACGCTCTGACTGTAAATCACTGAAACTCTGAAGTCTTTGTGATTAATTTTCTGCAGAGGTGAGGAGTCAGTTCGCCTGGCTTTGCACAAATTAGGAGAAAAGACCAGCCTGCTGGTCAGAGATTGAAAAATAAATCTACAGACATCTGGGCAGCATCTGTCAACACTCAAATTCATTTGGATATCAATATTTTTGAAAGACGACTTTGGGCTTTTACAAACTTCCAGTGGAAAAAGTCAGAACTGTTGCCACTTTTCTGGTCTGAAGCTTTTGAGCAAACTGCTGGAGCTTGTTTTAGCTCAGTAGAAACAGCAACCAGTATGTCAGAACCAGTTTGCTTGCCCCTAACCAGTGTCATATCTGGAAACCTGAGGGGCATTTAAACTATTGTGTTGGAGCTCCTCAAAACAGTCTATGAAAACAGAAACAAACCTTTGAAGAGGATATGTTGGCTGCTGCTAGTGTTTTTATTTAGCATGTTCTCCTAATTTCTGGTGATACTTTGAGGTGATTTAAAACAGTATATAAACTACATATTGCACCTTTAATCCCCAAATATTTTGTCAAAGTAAAATTAACCCCCAACATTCATAAATGATTAGAGTGAGGTATGCAGGTTGCACCTTTAAGAAGCTCTGAGCCCGTAGAAAAGTCATCCATCATTGTCAGAGCGAGCAGAAAGCCACTCAACACTCCTCTCTCCACATCTCTTGTCAGCTGTCATGCATCCTGACTTCCTATCTTTTCCCTTTTCCTTTTCTGTTTCATCTGATCACCTGGTAACAAACCCTCCATCCTGCCCCATTACTCTCCCTCAGGTCTCCATCCTCTCACTTACTGAGTTTTAACCCTGTAGATAGTTTGCTTGTTGTTGTTTGTAGATAATAAAGCCCTCCTCTCCTGTTTAGTTGCAGACTTGTAGGGAAACAAAGGAACAAAAACCACCTCCAAATTCAAACAAGAAGTCAGACATTGAAACACTTCCTGATAACAAGCCATTTAGCAAGAACCCAGACCTGTCTTCCTGTCATTGAGCTTTAGGGCCGGCTGAGGAGTATGTGGGTGCTGGATAAAACCACTTCTGTGTACAGATTCTGAGGTTTTCAGTGGCAGTACATTTGTAGTCCGAGTTGTATTGACTGATCAGACTGTATGGAGAGCAAAAGCAGGCAGGGCAACCCAAACCCTAACCCTGCTCCCATCTGTGGTAATAAGACAACAATTTCGTTTTTCTTCATAGACAGGTATCTGCTTTTAAAAATCTAAAATATTTCTCTACTTGATGTTGTGTCACTAAAGACAATCTGTTTTTAGATTTCAAAATGGACCATTTCTAGTGTTACTGACAGTGTAAGTCCTAAAAAGGGAGATTCAGCAGATTTTGAAATTAAGGTTAAAGAAGATTTTTTTTTTTTAACTGTTTTATATCAGACATTAAAGTGGATGTGATGAGTAAAGACATATACTCACTGTACATTCTCTACTGATGAAGATTTTAGGCCTCTGCATTCAGAAATCCTGTTTTGGCACTATTTGTGCTCATGACACTTGATATTTTTGCATCTCAGTTTTCAATGATTTTAAGTGACAGATTTGACCCCGTCTGCAGAGGGCTGTGGCTGAACTAGCATGCTGGCTCCCCTGGCTTACTGTATCTCAACCTTATTTTTTTCTTTTTAATTCAACTTTGATTTTAATGCCTTGTTTTTTAATGTCTTTTAAAAGTTTTTTTTTTATTTTTATTTTTTTATTTGTTTTCCCGTATATCTGGTTTACTGACATATCTTTACGGAGTTAGGTGTCAGATATTGCCCCAGAGATCTGAATCAATATTACACTGTGATTCATAATTTAAATGCCCAATGCCTCTGTTGCAGGATTTCAATAATGTCCTGCAGATGAACTGAATTATTTGCCAGAACTCCTGGTTGTAGGTAAAATGCAGCCATCTGTTTTTGCTAATTCAATCACCCCTCTTTCCTCCCCAGAAATCCCTCCCCCTCCGTACCGATGAGTCCAGCGTAGGCTCGGAGGCACAGGCCTGCTGAGTCTTTCAGGCAGCCGCTGGCCGTCATAGGAGATGGCTGGCAGTTGTTGAGGAAATCAGCCAGCCTGGACCTGGCAACGACACAAACAACAAGTCGACATCAAACAGGAGAAATCTGGACATGTGTGTTGGGGTTTTTAATACTGATGTTTCGAAAAGATGTACTGACATACTTAGTCCACAAACCTTCAACCTTTCCCCTTCTTTTTTTAACTACTCTACAATCCTTGCTTCCCCCTTGACCCACAGATCCTCCCGTTTCCCCCTCTGCGTGGGTCCAGATGGATTTAGCAGCTAGATATTTTTGTGCCAATTTCAAACAGCCTTCAATTTAAATCATGTTTCAATCTTTTCTACTGAAATGATGGCACACAAAAGCAGAGTAATTGGATGAATAAACCTATCCGCAACGCCATCTGCATCAAACCCTTGAATTTTACACTACCATGTCTTTGCTTTCTTAATGCTTTCGTAAACCATCCAGTCAGGTTTCTAGCAGACTCATTTTCTCAAACAACCGCTGACAAATTTTTGAACAACACTGTCCAGCTTCATGTCTTACCTGCAGAGGTCATCCCGGCGACAGAAGCTCTGCAAATGGAGGCAGTTTGGTTGCAGACCCCCCATGTCCTCATAGGAGCAGGAGGGTACGATGGTTTTCCTCCTCCTCTCACCACACAGCGTGTTGGTGCATGGGCAGAACAGGACGCCCAGGCTGTACTCCTCGGGCACCCGCTCCAGGAAGCGCCTCAAGGCCCGGCGGCACTTGTGCTGGTTGCATCGGCTGGTTCCTGGCACCTTTTTTGTGCAGGCCAGGACATACTCTGATCGTAGAGAACCACACTTCTCATACAAGCCACAGTCCTGTGCTGCCTTCAGGCACTGATTCTCACCATCCAGCTGCATGAAAGATGAGGCTGAAAGGGATGAGGAAGAGTCAGATGAAGTTAAGGCAAAGGCAGGTGTTTGAACGCTGCAAAGACGGAAAACTTCAACACGCAAAAAAAACATCACAGCTCAAAACCTGACAGCTTCAGACAGCTGAAAAATGTAGAGGAATAACCACAGGTGAAGGTCTCAGAGATGTTCGGAGTCATGTGCTGCCATGATAGTTTCATAATTTGTCACAGTTGGATTATGAATGTCATCTCAAAAAGAGAGATGCAAATGGAGACCCTGTTTAGAGCTGCCCAATTATTGCAAAAATCAAAGTCCTGATCTTTTTGATTGACATTGATCTCATGATGACTACGACTTGAAATCTCTCACAATCATAACACTTATACCCTCTGTAAGACACAAAAACGCAAAAATTTTTGAAAACTATCAGTCAAAAAACAGCTTTGCCTTCCTTCTTTGCGTACCAAAGCATGTCTGTCTGTCTAAAAAGTCATCTGTACGAACAACTAAACAACAGCTCTTCTTTCCTTAACTCTGGAAGCTTTGGCTTCATTTTGGTGATAATACCTAATAAATGAAATGACAGATTTCACTTGTAGAAAAGTAATTTTTACACTGTCACAAAAAAAGAAAAAAGGATTTAAACCCTTTTACTGCGCATGATGTCCTTTATAACATCATTGCAAGCTTGGTCTTGTAAGACGATGCCTTTCACTTTTTAGCCTGGCAGCTGTTAGCTTGTTAGCGTTTGTGCACGCTCAGGATCACAGCAGCCTCTCTCTCATCTTGTCCCTTGGCTTTTCAGACACAAAGATACATACACCTGCCTCCTTCTGCTCCCCTCCCTGCTCTCCTCTCTCCACCATTATCAGTCCATTATCAGTCCCAATTGTCATATCTTTATAATACTAATCAGCTCAACCATCTCCTTGATTGTGTCATAAAGTTATGATCTTACATTGTTGGGCTAAAGTCCTGCTACTAAGGACACAACCAGCATCTCAAGAAAGTCCACAGCAGATCTAAACAGATCATACCCCATAGAAACAGAAAAAAAGAATTTCAATCAAGAAGATTTTCATCCAAATTACAAAAGCTGTTCCTGTAAACCAGTCAGTGGATAGTCAGCTGATTAGCTCATTATAACTAACCCAGGGGAGGTTAGACTTTATAGCATCAGGATTTATATCAGACAGAAAAATGACAAAGTCGTCAGCATAGATGGATTATAAGGTATTCACACACAAACTGGAAAAATCATTGATGTGCACAATAAAAATAAACACCAAATGATATAGTGAAAAAATATATATATGTGTGTTTGTTAATAATAATAATATTTCTGATTTTGATAATTGGAGACAGTGCACAGCAAAGGGAAGTAGCAGAGAGGATTCTGGATCAATGATTGTCATTTTTTTATCCCCAGCTTTTCCATCAATTTAACATGATTACAATAAAGTTCAGCAGTTGACAGCTTAAGTGCTTCCCAATTACTGACTGTCTCAATATACTGTAAAAACTATAGTGTGAGCTCATTTTAAGATGAAAATCCTGTTTCAAAACAACAATTTTGAAAAATGTTTTTTAGCCGAAGTAGTAAACTTAAGGCTTTATACCAGAAAAAAACACTGGATGTTGTTGTGTTGGCTCTTATACAGTCAATGTAGTCAATTCAATCAGACAGACAAAAACACATCAGGACCCATCATAGGGAGTCTGTCGATCTCCTTTATATCATGTGATAGCCTGACTAGTTGTGATTATTTGTCTCCCCTTCCAATCAAAAAAAAAACAATAACAGTGAACTGCACTACGGTCGCTCAGTGACAGACTGTGATCAGACTCTTAAGGTGGTTCAAATCCAACTCATTTTAGCTGTTTCTGTACTGGAGAACCTTTGCATGGTCCTTATCAGGTCTGAGGCAGTAAATAGATGCTAAAATAGAGAGCAGAGTGAGTGAATAAAAAGAGCCGAGTGTCCTCAGCTGGTCTGCAGTTTTTATGTCTGTATTGATTGATACTTATTGATTAACATGCCCAAGATTTAGTGATTCATTGAGCTGCTTCACTGAAGCTATAGAGCTGTCTGTCATTAAATATTCTGTGTGTGACCGTGATGGACACTGACACAAACTACCCAATCATGTCAATGACCTCGAGAGTGACTCTGTGCGTGCGTGCGTGTTTGCGTGCGTGCGTGCTTGCATGCGTGGGTGCGTTGCTACCTGCCACTAAGGAGGCCATGCGAGTGTCCATTAGTGTGTCATCATAGGGAGAAATTTCCAGTTCATCCTCCCCTGAAAAAACACAGGAAAGAGCAACAAATGTGGTAAACGTTTGAGATGGACCACAGGAGGTCAGAGGGAACAAATGTAGCAGAAAACAATAATGAGACAAAAAGACAATCCAACGTCTAAGGAAAACAAGGCTGAAATAATCTAAGGAGGTGAACAGACAAAAACCGCCAGCTATGCATGTTAGGTGTTAAATGCAATCAGCTCTGTGATCTCTTGTTTCAAAGTTAGAAAATAAGGTATTTGTCTTTTTTTCCTTTACTTTGATTGAGGTAAGACAGTTTTGTTTATATTTAGACTGCTGACTTTTGTCCTTCTGGCTGTCCTTGGGAATGAGAAAGAAAAAGCCTGAATTTGTGTTACACTCTGGTTTCTGGTGACAGTGTAAAAAAATGGATTGACCACAATTTATCAATGAAATTCTTGCAGATATTAATTGCAAAACTTAGTCACTTGACATGCCTTGTTTTTATTTTTACCCAAATAAACTGGTATTAAATCAATCCAGGATCTCTTATTGTAGCTGTAAGAAGACAGCAGACAACCCGCTGCAGGTTCTTTGTTATTTGAATCTCATTAGTATGGCCAAAATGAGGACACAATAATGACGATAAAAATGCAGACTCCTGTCAGAGTGATTTCATGTACCCCAGACAGCTTTTGTCCACTTGTAAAACCCATCAGCAGAGCGCTGATTGACTAGTGGATGAGCCGTTTGTTCCTGAAAATTATTTAAACACACTCCAAAGAACAAACTTAATCAAGAATGTAATGGCATGTAAAGTGTTTATGTATGTAAATCCTATTCTGGGCTATATATTTATGGTAATGACACGCTAGAGCAGCCTAGCAGCATTGGGAACTGAAGAGTGTGTAATTACACTAATGCTCGACTGACTAATAGGCCACAGGGGAGGACGAGTCCGCTGGCTAGTGTGAGCTCGCTTACTGATGCACACATCACGCTGACTCTCCCGGTACGCTTCTGTTACCCTAAGTGTGTGTCAGTGTGTGTGTTGAGTGTGAGCTTTTGTCGCTAAACTTCACCTTTACTATGTCTGGTTTGACATGATGAAATTGTCGTTGGTTAAAGTAAAATCAGGTGTAGACATAAAGTGTTAAATGGATCAGCATCCAAAAATACTGATATGTCCCTTTAAGTGGCGCAAGATCAGGGCGCAAAGAGTCTGGATGAAGTCTTTTGAGTGTCCAAAGGTGTGTTTTGGATGTTACATGACAGTGACTGCTGTTATTCCCTTAAAGAGCCTGCAGCCAGGTGTGTTTGGCCTCTTCGATCAATGGTCTGAATTGACAGCAAAAAGCTCCACAGAACTCAGACGACCTGTAGAGGTGGTGCTAAGTCTCTGTGGGTTCACAGAAGTGACCTCTGTCACATCCAACAAAATTATTTGAGCCTTTAATTTAGATGAATATTTAATTTAATGCAGCTTAAAGCCCTGAGATAAACCTTCACCCTGTCCATGAAGTACCTCACCCTCCAAATCTATCAGGAGTCACCCCTAAACCCCCCTCACCTCCAGCTGAAGGGATGAAGGGACAGAGGTTCCCAGATAAATCCATGCACAGATTTGCATGCATCACCCCCCACACACACACACGCACACACCCTGACAGACCTGGCATCAGGCGAACGCCCCAGTATATGCGCAGACACTGCTCTTCTTTGCGGAGGCCGCGCTGACACTTGCAGGCCAGCAGAGCGGGGTGTCTGGACAGCAGGGCGTCCTGTCTCTCCAGACACTCTGCAGCCACCTGCTCATCTAGAGAAGACACAGCAGCGTCCGCCGCACACAGCTCCAAACCCCGGTACAACGCCTCACACCGAGGGTCCATGGAGCAAACCCGATGAGCCTCAACACAGTCGGTGGGGGAGGACGGGTAAGGGAAGAGGGGTGCTGAAGACGGAGACACACCTAAGACAGGACAGAAGAGACAAAAGCCAAATATCATATTACTGTAGTTAACACACAGTTCAGAGGAAACATTAGACCACAAGGACGTTTGTACACTTCCAAGAACTGTAGAAACTTTTCTCTGTTTTGATTCAGGAACTATGAGCTATTAAAGCTTCAAGAACTCTATTAAAGGAAACATTTCAGCTTCTGCTTAGAGTAGCTGCTGTCATAGCACAAGAGGGAATCTGAGTGATATAAGTGCAAACATATTCATTGACACTAAACACCACAAATAACACTAAATAACTGTATGAGTGTTGGGAAAAAGAAGGGAAACACCAAAAATAGCAGATCTACACCAACCATAGAGAATCTAACAGAAAGTGATGATGTGCTTTGCTGGATGCTATCCTCAGCCACAGACTGGTGGTATATGCTGGAACTGAAACTCTGTATAGTTACTTTAACAGCTGCATTAGTGTAACCTCATAAAACATTCATTAAAATTAATGGCATACTGCTTGTGCTGGCATCAGCTAAATCCTGAGCCCAATCATCATCAGTCTGTCAGAGGAAAACTTAAAAACAGACCGGCACAAACAGCTGAATCTGGTACAGGCCCTGGGTCCCAAAGCCTGTCACTGCAGTCTCCTCCGTCTTTGACTATCCGTCTATCCGTCTATCTTTGACCTATACTGTGAGCACTTATGGACTCGTCATGATAAGGGTTGTTCCAAAGCCCTTAACATGGCTCAGAGGAGAGAGGAGGTCTATTCACTGACAAACAACTCTCCCCTTCTTTAATTGGTTAAAATAATCAGCCTGAAGTCCCACAGTGGAGTTTGCCCATTTGTAAAAAGTGTTTATTTTTATCACACTTAGGCTGCTGTCTGTGCATCTCACATCAGACTGACCATTTATAGGTGCAGAGTTTATAAAGTGTTGCATGAAAATCTATTTTCTCAGAAATTTTAACCTTCACAGTAAGAGTACCGGAGACTTCATAAAGTGTTCAATATTCAATATGAATGAGATGTAGAGTTCACAAAAAGAAAGACACTAAATATTTTTAAAAAATATTAAAATAAAGTAGAAAAGAATAAAAAAGGACAAATGTTCAATTTAGTTTATTTTGTCATTGTGTATCTTTGTGTATTTCAGATAATCTGTTTTAGGCCCTGACAGTCTGATCCACATCAACACCAGTGACATAAATTTGAAAGTCCAGTAAGTGCGCTGGGTTTGTCGGCCCTGTGGTTGGATGAAGACTTCAACATGAAAAAAACTGCTTCAGCTTTCAGACATTTTATCAGCTCACAAAAAACTTTATCATGCAGCCGCATCTAACAGCGTTACCAGTTGATATGAAATATAGGCTTAAACAGATTTGTTGGATGTTACTACTTTTACATAAATTGCTTGGATCAGAAATAGACACACACCAGATGAAGCGAAATAAATGGTCTGATCTCAGATGTGAGAGAGACGCAGACAGAAACAGGCATTGACTGTAACTCATCAGTTAACGTAATAAATATGATTTGTTGGTACTTTTATTCTAACAACTGCAGCTGCGAGGCTGTGGTGAATAAGGGCCTGAATCGCAAAAGGATTGTGCAGCTTCTGCGTGTGCTTCACCTCTGTAAATGCGCCAAAACAAGATGTAATTCACAAGCATGCACAAGGGGTGAAATACTCCATAAATGACACTGCAGAGCAAACAGTGTTACAGCACACGTCGTGCAGATTTTTTTATGAGATATGATGCAAAACAGGCCCCTTTCTATGCAAATATGCCTCAGTGCAAAAAAATAACCCTCACCTGATTGACTTCTGCTGAAATGAACTGTCTGCTGAGATTTTTTTGTATGTGTGAGTATTTATGAGTGTAGTCATGCACAAACTCCTTGGGATGGCCTAAAAATACTCTGCCCATTGAGTCTGTTAATAATACTTTGGCTACTTTGTAATACTCGGGGGGTGGGGGGGGGGGGTTAAATCAGCCTGGAGCTCCATTTCCCCACATAAGCTGTGGCCCTACAAACAGAGGAGTGGATTTTTTTGTGTATCTGAATGAGCTCCCTTTTTCAGCTCACTTCAGAAATCAATCTGTTTCTCTCTGAGATTTGTGGTTACTGTAAAACTGACGCTCATTTTTCCTCTGAAACAGAACTTAATTGAAACAGGAAACTGCTAAATGATTAAACAGATGTGACAGAATCAATTTCCAGCTGTAACTCAGTTTTGACCAAGTCAAATAGCAACCGCATTTTACCTTTGCAGGGCAGAAATGATGCACAATACTTGCTGTTTTTAACACCACAGCTCATCCCTAGTTGAATCAGGCCCTCAGGGTTTTTTTAAATGTCTATCAGATGCAAGTTTCTTGTATGTTCAGTATGTCTTTAGAATTTAATAATTGCTTTGCAGTTTAGAGACAAAATTATAACTAAAAGTTGATCATATGTTTTGATGTATGCTATGGTTGCACAAAGGTACAGAATAGGGCTGCATGATTATTTGATTTTAAATCGTAATCAGATTATTTGATTATGACAATGTTAAAAAAAAATTAAAATCATCAAATTGATTATCCTCTATCGTGTCTCACGCCTCCTTCTTGCAAGAGTGCTTTTCAGTTCCCACTCACACCTCTGTAAACAAACATGGCGTTTGCAAATGAGGGCGATAATTTCATGGCTAAATAGGGCAAGAGCAAGTCAGTCGTGTGGAATTGGTACGGCTTCGCAGTTTCGGATGAAGAGCAAACCACTCCCCTCTGCAAAATCATATCAACCCTTCCACACGGAAATGAAATAAGGAGTAAAAGCAAAAAGTTTTTTGTCGTATTAGCATTTCATCCACGTGGAAATGGCGTTTCAGGTGACTGTAAACAGTACTTTTTGAAAATTGGTCAAAGTGCATGAATCTGTAAACGACTACCATTTCATCTCTGTGTGGATGCCTATCTGCATCTCTCTTAAAACGATTGTATGACAGACAGCGTAACTATTCTGGCCAAAATAACCTTTATACGCATGCTCTGTACTCTTTTTTTGTCTTTGGTGCATTACCTCAGTAGCGTTTCAGCGCCACTTACTGGCTTGGCATATGCACCATTTGTTTTCAGTGTTTCCTTTTGAGAGATGATAGAAAAACTTATTATGTAAGTGAAGTTTGGTAAAGTTGTCACTGAATAATCAAATTATTGAAATCAAAATCAAAAATTGAGTTTTCAGAGAAAAAAATCTGGATCTTATTTTGGGCAAAAATCGTGCAGACCTAGCTCAGAGTTGAAGAAAACACCGAACCTGACAGTTCTACATGCACTTCGGCACTGAAATGTTCATGTGTTTATTCTCTTAAATTTTGTACTAACCTCAGAACAAATTCAAGGAAATACGATTTAGGAATGTCAAGATCCTCATGAAAACAGCATCAGTGGGTTTTAAGAAGAAATATCTTCTCGTGAATAGTGGGTGAATGAGGACCAGCATTTGGATTGTGTGGATCCAAACTTTCTCTGACAGGAACTGTTGTTTTCTCAAGTGTGTCTGCTTCGATTTGCAATAGCGAAAGGAGAGGCTCCCCTGGTAAAAATCCAATAGCTCATACACACACAGGGGAAGTGCAGAGAAGCTGTGTGAGGACAGCAGAAATGTCATACAGAGAGGAGAAATAGGGGAACAGAAAGATAGATGAAAAAAGAGAGGTGGGAGCGAAGGAGAGGGTGAGCCAGATAGAGGCTGAGACGGAGAGAGAGTGTACCAATGTGAACCTTGATGGGTTGGACACGCGCTCAGTATGAGGCCCAATCAGCATGCACTGTCGAAAATGATGTTCTTAGAATCACACACGCACGCACGCACACACAGTCGTAGAAAACAACACACACACGCACATGGCTGCCCTGAGAAGGACCCTTTTATGTGTGTGCCCCGCTGCGAAGGAGACTGGGAGGCACAGAACCCATCATTACGACCAGAACACAATACTGCACAACCACAGGGGAGGGGGGCAAAGCAATCTGTCTTACACACACACACACACACACACATATTGGTGTCAGAATAAAGTGGCTGAGAGAGCATAAACAGCTTAACATTCAGTGCCGGATCAGTAGACAGTATGTAAATTGAATACTGAGACTGCTGATGAAAGACTAAGCACATACATAAAACATTGTTGGTCGAACAAATATCCGGACTCTACGCCTGACTCGCTCTGTGGAGACCTCACACCTGATCCAGACTTCATCTAGACCTGATCTAGCTCACCTCTCTGACTGCAGAGTCTGAGTTCAGACTTTAATAATCAAATCTATCAATCTCTGCACAGGACGCACCGCCCGGCCCAGTCCCAGTGTTAACAGCTTTCTGTGGAGTCATGTCATGCAAGCCCAGATCACACACAAATTGTCTGCAAGTAGCACACACACACACACACACACACACACACACACACACACACACACACACACACACACACACACACTCACATGCACACACACTAGAAGTGCAGAGATTTTGTCTGAGGTGTTTTCCTTCAATTTTAGCTGAGCCGATTTTAAAGCAGCATGGGGGCTTATTTTTAGGTTATCTAGACAGCACAATGCCGATATCAGAAGACACCAGCCATCATCTGACAGATATACAGCTCCAGAGGAAAAATTACTCCAGCAAGAAGACACTTTTCATGTTAAAGTAAAATGATATTTCTTATTTAGGTCTTTGTTTTGGGAAAATGCAGACCAGTAAAGAAAAACAAACACAGCTGCACCAAGCAAACAAAAGGCAACACCAGTGGGGATGTTTCTCATTGTTTTTAGTTAGGAATAATATAATCACAAAGAGAAAGACATGTGTTGCAAGCATTCAGAGAGAAAATAAATAGTCCTCAAGTTTAAACATGATGAATTTTTCAAGTTTCCTCAAAAGTCGTCATCACAGCAGGAAAGTAGAGATGGAATACGCATCAGCACCAATAAAACAGTCTGCTGTAGAGCTGGTATAATTTTATCAGATATTTTATCAGAGACAACTCAAAGCTTAAGTAAATAATGACGCAGTAAGCGAGGTAGCAGAACCTAGGATTTCGACAGCCAACATTGAGTCTCTGCTGCTCTGCAGACGAATCTCTACGTGCTCTGAATGATGTGGTCTTTACACACTCTCACAGTCTGCTCCACAACAACATCAGGGACAGAAGTTTGACCACATGTGGACTTTTAAAGTTAGTCATGTAAGTCTGTAAAGTTTGACAGACCCATGGCTGGATGACGACTCTGACCTGACTTTCATTTTGCACTGAAGGATGCACTCAACCTTTTCGAAAACCACCTGAGTTTTATTGTGAATGAGAGTAAAATTAGCAATAAGGATTTCAAAAAATATTGATATTTGTTTTTTCAAATTGAATTTTCATTTTTCATGATAATTAAATTATCTGGAAGTAAATTAAGGAAGAGGTTCACTACTATGAGAGAGACTGCATGGGCAAATAATTTCACGGAGAGTGTTGCTGAGCTTTAAATTTCAAAGAAAGAGTGGATTTCATCATCTACGGAAAAATATCATTAAAAGATTCAGAGAATCTGGAGAAATCTCTGTACAAAGGGGACAAGGACCAAAACCAAGACTGGATGGACCTGATCTTCCGGCCATCAGGCAGCACTGCATTGTAAACAGACAGGACTCTGGAGTTGAATTCACTGTACTGACTCACCTCCAAACTCTATTGTCTGTGAACACATTTAATCACCGAATCCACAAATGCAGGTTAAAACTGAACTGCTTGGAAACAATTTGAAAATAAACTTCTCTGAACACAAACCCATTTATGATAAGTTGAGGTTAATCAAATACTGTCATGTCAAATCAAATTGACATCCTCCTTGGATATCATGGACAACAAGTCCTCTGCTCTTAAAGGGATATTCCGGCATAAAATTAAGTTGGGGTCAAACACAGCATAACACCGAGTTAGACACCCCCTTAAGAGATAAATGTTGCCGACCACTTGCTTTTCTAGTCACACCAACTTAAAGCTATGGTCTACCATTTGGAAGCTTGGTACTTATTAATAACACAGTTTAGAAGGCCGTTATAGTCCTATGGTCGGATCCACGCAATATAAAGATCAAAAAGAACGAAAAAAAACAAGCGGGCTGCATTTTTCAAATCTGTTTCAACAGCCAAACTGGTTTTCAGATCGTAGACCATAGCTTTAAGTAATGACCGCACAACAGCAATACACAGTGTTCTAAGTCTCCACACTCAAACCTCAACCAAAAAGCCACTCTATAGCCACAAATAATGCTCAGAACAGCACCTAACTTCATCAACAGTACATAGAGGGTCCCAGCCATAGCACTAACTATCAAACATCTTTTTAGCTTTGCCTCTTTTTCTCTATTAGCAAAGAGACCAAACACAACTCATCCACTCTCCTCCAGCAGTTACTTGTTTGTAGGGGGGAGCCCTGACGAGTCGATCACCAAGTGCAGCGGATCATTTCCTTGAATTAATAATCATCATATTAATCATTTTGCACTGCAGATGCTGTAGTTCTTCTGCCTTAGCGTCTCGGTCAAATTGCATTGCCATGAAGAAATAATCATAAATTTTCCTCCTTGAGCTGTGAAACTCCACTGAACTTGATGATCGACTTGGCAGGGCTTCCCCCACGAACAAACGGCTGCTGGTAAAATTTTCACTGTAAAGATTTGATGTTGTCTTTGCACTGTTTGCTTTTAATGGTTTACAAGCTATTGTTTGGGCATGTATAATAAAGTCACTCTTCTTGAATGAATTCACCTTTCAAACAACACCATGGGCTCTATTTTGGTGCCTCGCCGGAGACGTGCCGCAAGCGCAGAGTCAATCAGATCCGCCGCGCTGACAAGGCGTTCCCAAGCACATTTTGGTATTTGGTGAGCCGCGCAGCCCAGCGTAAGTATCCCCCCTCCCTAACTCAGCTCCTCCCAGCAGCATAAATCATAGACGGGGAGGAGAGGGGGTTTAACACAGCCGAGACATGTTTTCACCAATCACATTAGCTCCTCTCCTCGCCTTTAGATCCGCCACAGGCGAGGCGTATTACTATTTTCATGAAGTAGTCAAAGAGATCAAGAGATGTCTGAAGACAGTAATGCCACAAGATGGTGACAGAGGGCAGCTGCTCAACAAGTGTCCTCCACACTCTCTCATCTGAGCACAGATGGATTTGGTGTGCGTAATGTTGGACCCACTGGTAAGACAAACACCCTTTTCCACAAATAAAGACACTCACATAAAGTTGCATATATTCAAACCTCACGTGACAAAGGTGGGTTGAGCGCACAGATCACAACATAAACTCCAAAAAGGCATTAAAATCGGAACCATCTGTGCGTAAATGACGCATCGCGCTCCGTGGCCTGGCTCTTTCTTTCATAGATGTTGGCATATAAAATAAATTTGGCTCACAAAACTGAATATTATAATATTCATATGTCGGCTTAAAGTAGATAACTCGTCTGAGCACTGAAACAAATCATCTGTTCAGCCGCAGCAGCAGCAGGAAGACGGACAGAGGACACGGAGACGTGTCCAGGTCGAGCTGTGCGAGAAATAAGAGGAAGAAAGAAAAGGAGGGAGACACATTACATATCTTGTTAAACTTCATCATGTGTGTTTATTTACTAGATATTTAATTTAATTTGATGCAGTTTCAGCTGTATTGATTCGGTCAGGTTGTGTGTCCAAACGCGTGCCAAACGCGCTCATCAGATCAGATATAGATCAGAATATATCGATATAGATCTAAATGTATGTGCTGACTCAGATTAATAGTTGTTGATCATTATTTATTGCACTGAAATCTGCCTGACACTGTGGAAACCTGCCGGTGAGGCATCAGTGACGTATGTCGATACGCCGCCGGTCTACCAAAATACTACTGGACCAGCTGCGTTCCGCCTAGCGCTGAAAGCTGACCAGGTTTGAATCGGCGAGCTTTCAGCGCACGTTACACGCCAGTGGCGAGCACGAAAATGTCACTGCGCCAGCTGATTCTGTCAACACCTCCCCCTGCCACGCCACCACGCCCAGCTTGGCGGATCTCGGCTCGCCTCCGTGCGACTCAGTCCACGAAAATACCAAACTCGCCTTACGCCGGGCTCCGCCAGACGAAAATACAACTGCGCGGGGCTCGCCGCCCTCCGCCGCCTCACCGGCGCGAACGAAAATAGAGCCCCATGAGTTTGGGATGTTTTTAATGTTACATAAAGAGTTTGATTTTCATTTTTTTTTTTTTTTTATTATTTTTCTTAAGTTTAAATGCCGGTGATGTAGAGTAACAGAGACAAACTGTTTTACCACAACACTCCGTGACTGAAACGAGGTAAGCCCCCATTAAAAGAATAAGGGAGCCTGTGTTTAGGATGCCTCATTATTGTAACAGTGGGCCCCTTGAGGTGTTCCCACAGGAAGTCCAAGTCACAGTGTGTGAGAGTTTGTTGCCAAGCTGGAGGGGCTGGCAGACTCCAGCCAGAGCCAGGCGTGGAAGTGAAATTGTTTAGCTAACCCTAACTTTGGCAGAAAGCCTTTTCTCCTTTCCAGAAAAGTCTATCAGAGAAAGAAAGCTCTGGACTTATTTATCTTCATGAGGAAGTCAACAAATAAAAGTACGTGCCTCAGTTTCAGTAGATTTCCTGTTTGTTGTCAGTCGACAGCAGGAGGACGATTAAACTTTTGTTGCCTCGCTGTGTCTGCAGGTGGCCAGCAGCTCTCCCGTCAGTGCTGGAGGAGTTTCTCTTTGTTTTTCCATCGAAAACAACCAACATCCAGCGTGCCATCTGCTGCAGACCAACACACACAGTAGAATCTGGAGAGCTCATTCAGTCTGAGGAGACGTGTGTTCAACTTTCACTCAATGCAACAAACTCAGGTCATTATTTCAGTGATTCACAGAGAGGCTTAAGTTCTCTAAGAGCAGGGGGTGCACCGTGAAGAGAGATTCAGGGGTGAGACATATCGGTTGAGTCAGGGCACCAAAGCTGGCTCTCTTTTGACCTGGCTTCATCACTGCGGTGCATTCATTCGTTTGAATAGAGCCTGTCCTGAGCAGATATCCACCAATAACATTAGTCTAGTCTGAATCAATATCTCAGTCATTTAGGGTGGCATTTTTGTTTTTAAGAAGGTGTTTGTGGCTTTTTTGTTTTGTTTTGTTTGTTTTCTAGTTAAAAGTGATGAATACATTGGAAAGAAAGTCTTAAACACGTGCAAAATCAACTGTATAAAGCAGCAAAATGATCTCTACCTATTCATAATAAGAGCAACAATGTGAAGACTCATCATAAGACAGTGCCATGGCCTTGAATGTTGGTCAAAACTGTGATATTAACAGGTCTCTCACCCTCTCTGTGCAGCAGGTTAGCACTGACACACAGCCACATAACAAACGTGATCATGGGACCATTTTTGATGCCTGTAACTGCAGAGAGGGAAAGGAGGTATGCTAAAGAAACAGCCTTTGTTACTTTACCCACAGCACTGACTTGACTGACGAGTGGGAACACTGTAGCTGTTAGCCAACAGGCTAAAGGCCAACCTGGCCTGTCCAACTGGGGAGGAGAGATCTTAGTTGACATGCTCACTCCAGAGTTCCACCAGATCTGTTTTTGGTCTGTTTCCACTCAGATCAAGTTGGCTTCTGTGCCTCATCCATCGCTACCCCTCACCTACTTTTTCAGAGCGCAGCATGTAGCAGCATTGCAGAAGAACCGAAGGCGCAGAGCCAAGAATTTCCATGGTTAAATGAGGAATCAGTGATTTCATACCTCCATGATCAGCTCAAAAAACCAAAGGCCTGCTGACTCCAGACCTGGTTCTGCCCACTTTGGCAGATTTTTGGTGAAGTTACATGGAAACAATCTGGCGTCCACATGGACCGTTTAACCTTAAAAATGAAACAGATTTTCAACGGATGGATAGATAGTCGGTTGGTTGTTTGGTTGGATGGTTGGTTGTTTGGTTGGTTGCTTCGTTGGTTGGTTGGTTGGATGGATGGATGGATGGATGGATGGATGGATGGATGGACCGACCGACTGACCAACAAATGGATGGATAGTTGGATGGATAGTTGGTTGTTTGGTTGGTTGGTACGGTGGATGGATGGATGGACAGACGAACAGTCGGATGGATGAAAATGCCCACATGTTCAGTCCAAAGTCAGTACCTTTGTAACTCTTTGATTAAATGAATTTTTACGTTCAGTGTGAACTGGGACTCTACTGCAGGCTGATGCTGGAGTCAGTTTTAGCAAAAACAAAGAAAACATGTTCAGTTTGGTATGATCCTAAAATATGAAATATTTATTAAAAAATGTAAAGATTTGTAAAAGGGGTGCTTTTTTTTTAGCTGTCTGCCTTTTGACTGTGTTCAGGGTTAATAGCTTGGCTGTGACTTACCTTAGTACATAATATAACCCTTAATGTAGCTCCAGCTTATGCTTCAAATATAGTGACAGGACTTGAAAATTTTAAAGCAGACAGAAATGAATGTTTTAATTAGCTGTCAAAGACACTTGGTGAGGTCTATCATAAAGTAGTGGAGCAGTATTTTGTCAGGTAAATCCCTGGATTTAAAGACCACATTTTAAAAAGAAGCATGTACCACCATCTGCTGATAGCAGCAGTGTGTTTCTTTATTCTGGTTTCAGTCACAGTGTTGCCCCTCTGGGTCACAGTGTATTCTGAAATAAATTATAAAAATGTCCTGGAGCATCATCATAATTCTCTGAACACACTGACATATTGTGTGCGGGGGACAGATGAGTAGATGAATAATCACATAAACAAATCAATCAGGGGCCCTCTCCATGGCGATGAATACAGAGGTCAATACGACATCACCTGAGGCTGCATCACCTATCATAGGTACCAGCTTCAACAGCAGCTCATCAGCTCGTAATGACGATCCTCAGCATCCATTAATCACAACCACAGCCACTTCGAGGAGAGGAATAACCACCATACACAAACAGCAGCAAATCAGTGTGGTTTACTATGGGAGCCACAGAGTGGGATTTTATCTCGGACCTGCTGGATTGCAACTCTTAATCCATGCTGTGATTCTTCTTCTATGCTCACCTGGTCAGACTAAATGTCAGTGCTCCTTCCCTCTGAACTTATATCCGCCTCTTATTTTTGGCAAAGACAGATTCAGAGCAAGCTGTGGTGACAAAATGGGACTGAAGTGTTTCTTGGGGTGAAACTATTCTCACTACTGTGATGAGAAGTGAAAGTGATGAATTTCACATTGTCAAGTTTGTTTGCAACAAAATAAAAAGAGAGAGAGAGGTTGTTGATGACGGCAACCACAGACAAAGTAGAGGCAGCTACAGTGAAGATACTTGTGTAATGTCTAAAAAGTAAATAAACCGTAATAACACGCCCTGTCTGTTCCCTCTGGTAAATGCATAAAAATGTGGCATTCAAATCATATTTTGGGTCTTGCATACCTGCAAGCACACTCAGGACTGTAAACTAATTCACTGTATTGTTTAATATTTATCTACATTTGTTGTACTGTTGAGTTAAAATGGTTTTCAAATTTTTCAAAAGTTTAACTTATTCAATTTGCTTTGTTATTTACATTGGATGTTAATAAAATGTTGAACTAATATCTAGTTTCTTTAGTTTTTATTACAGATGCTTTGAAACTGGCAGTTTAAATAAATAAAATAAATCATGATAACAATCAAGATCAGACAACATGACAAAATACACTACAGGCCAAAATTTGGAAGCAAGATCAGATTTGTACAAAAAAAAAGATCATAGTTTCATATATATAATTTGCAACACAATAAACATGACTATTGTGTAAAGAATAACTTATCAGAAGACACTTCGACCATTATTATTAGGTATTTGAGTTATTGTTGCTTAGACTTTGCTTTCTTTAAAGTAACCTCCTCTGGCTTTAACAACAACTTGGCATATACCAGACATTCATTCCACAAGTTTTTTAAGGTATGTTCCAGCGATTGCATTCCAAGCTTTCTTAAGTTCATGAAAAAGAGACTGCTGACTTGTGGGATGCAATTTTCTGACGATCGATCCAATTCATCCCACACAAGCTCTATTGGAGAAAGGTCTGGAGACTGAGGGGGCCAAACCATCTCTTGAAGAACACCTTTCTCTTCTTTTTTGTCTAGGTAACCCTGACAGAGCTTGACAGAGTGCTTAGGGTCATTGTCTTGTTGCAAAACAAACTTATGAGCCACAAGTCTGAGTCCAGATGGAACAGCATGGTGCTGGAGGATGGAGTGGTACTGTTCCTTCTTCATGATACTCTTTACTTCAAACAAATCTCCTACTCCATCACCTGCAAAACATCCCCATACCATGGAACTACCACCTCCATGCTGAATTGTGGGTGTAACACATGGTGCTTTCAGACGTTCACCAGTTTGTTTGCGGACATAGACTCTGCGTTTTGAACCAAACAGTGCAAACTTGCTTCTAGTCATCATAAGTCAAATTTTTTGTAAGCTTTTACCCACTCATATCTTTTTCTTGTTCTGTGGATGAAGTAGTGTTTTTTACAGATAACCAACCCTTCAGACCAGCCTTTCTCAAACATCTTTTCACAGTTGTCAGAGATATGGGTTTCGACCTTGTCATGTTGATTTCCTCCCTTATTTTTGGTGCTGTCTTTCGCCAATCTCTCTTACTGGTGACAATGCTATGTTTACCCTCTGCTTTTGTAGTAACTCTCTTTCATTTAGGTCTTTTTCTATCATCATAACTTCCAGGTTCCTCTAGTCTCTTCAGAGTTTAGTGGACTCCTTTGTTAAATACCATTATGTGTTTTGCAATCTCTCTTTCTGTGTATCCTTCTTTCCTCAATGTACAAATCTGTACTTTTGTTTCTTTACTCAGTTGCTTCTTTCCAGACATTTTTTTGCGGTAGTTTGAACACAGTTGAGATTTATTAGGATTTTTGTATGCAGACTTTAAAAAGCCAAAAAGCTGAAGTGAATAATCCAACTGTGATTATTTTTTTTGCTTTTGCACTGAAGTTATGACTCTTGCAAATGTTTTCAACCCTAAAACTAAGCCTTTATTATCTTTTGTTGACATATATTTAGCAATGGTCTGTTAACATCAATGTATATCTAAAGGTAAATGGAGTAAAATGGTGCATTTCCATGAAAGCAACATCTGATCATGAAGTAAATACATCCCAAAATACATAAAACTCATGCTGGATTTTAAAAAAGCATTGTGAACAAAAACTCCCAACTATTCGGCCTGTAATGGCCTTGCTTCCAAACGTTTGGCCTGTAGTGTACATCATGGTTTTTTTTTTCTTTTTTTGCCAAAGATCTAAGCCTATTTTTATCCATCACCACAAACCAAGGATTTCAGCAGCTAACAGTGTCATTGTTATTTTCCACCCAGCTCACACTCCGGGTACCCAGTCGCCTGTGTAAATTACAAGGTAACCTGTGTCTATGTCAGCTCCTGTGGGTGTGTTGGTCTTAAAGAGAGGTGAGGTCAGGTGCAAAAGTGGTGCATCACTATCTTGAGTAAGCAGACAGCTTCTCGAACTAAGTCAAACAGGAACCCAGTCTAAGGTCTTCAGACAGTGGTGAAGCACATTGTGTCAGGGGTACACCAAGATCTTTAAAAACTCATGGCAGAAGACAAATTGTGCTTGTGAATTGTGTAGAAGACACAACTAAGGTGTGCAATTCATGTTCTCACGCTGTAAATGTCATAGAGTCAAGTGTCGAATTCAGACAGAGCTTTGATAGGTGTCAGTGTTTCCTTCCTCCCACACACGATGGCTTAAGTCAAAGAATATGACTTCAGCAGGAATTATGAAGAAAAGTCATCACCTTTCTGATAAATAAACACTCCAGCTTTGAGACTGACACCAGGTTCTCTGCATTCAGGCTGAATACGTGCTCATTAGCTTCACACAGACAGACCTGCTAAAACTCAACCACTGCAGCAAAATACAAAAAAATAATTGTTAACAGCCAACTTTTCACAACTAAATCCTGTCAAATACTATCAGAATGTTTACATACATGAATGAAACTACACCAGTGTGCCACATGGGTAGACACAGCATCTCTTTAAAGAAAATAAGTCACCAGTTTTTCACAGTGAATTGCAATGTTAATTCTGAAGATTTAGCAACATTTCAAGGATCAACATCAACCTCCTACTGTGAGCTTTTAGTGTTTGAATAAAGGCTGCTGCATGTAGGTTTATAGATGCCATGGGCAGGTCTCTATCCAAGCCTTTAGGGCTTATCTCTGAAGAGACGCCAACAGACGAGGATCTGTTCTTATAACAGGCGTGTATATCGCCTCAGTCTGCCTCTGTTGCATGCATCAAAGTCCTTTTTTTGTGTGTAACCCCAAACTGAGAGAACAAACTACACTCATGGTGTCATTTATTCATGTGTATTACAGTTCTCAAGTTACAGACTGTGTTGTCTTGTTGCTTTCAGACGCTGCCATTTGCTGCCAGTCAGGAAATAAAGCCCCTGAGTTTCCTATCAAGTCAAAGTCCTGCTCTCACAGTATGACCATATACAGTCAGCCAACCAAATTTCCAGACATGCCAGAATTTCATCTGATCAGTCTGGAGCAGCAAATCAAGCCTGATCAGCTCCCATGACCCCCCTACAACAGGACCTGACTCCCTGAGCAGTCCTGCGACTTCAAAATCCTGTCAGAATTGGTCTCACACAGTGTAAGTCTTGCTTTGGTGAGAGAGTAAGAAAGGCATGAGAACAGACAACCTGATTCCCTTAGACTTTTACTCATAAACTGAGATGCAGTCAAGCTTCCAACTTGTATTGACTAATCTGTGTTGTGCTGATATAGTGAAATTAGATGCCTGTAGATGGATTTTCCTTTGTCTCCATACGCATGGTACTGCTCACCTCTATCTCCTCATATCATCAACCTGTATGGCCTTAAATCTCAGCCTGAGACTTCTCCAAGCTTCACTGTACTCTGAACTATGTAACCATACTGTATATACTGAGGACAATTTGGCTCTGTCATTATACTAATTTGAAGCTGAAATGCTCTCGGCATTTCCGGGATTTTCTCCACTTCCTGGAACCACCACTCGCGCAGTAGCCTTGTACGCATTCAGCGGGAAAGTCGATGACGCTCGGCTCAAACAGCGTATCCCCCGGGTTAGCAACACAATCTTTGTATGCCCAAAGGCTGTATCAAGTGTCAATCATAGAAAACATGAACCCCCTAATAACTTTAAAAAACGGAGCTGCACAGAAAAAAGAGGACTTGAGCACAAACCAGTCTTACAGTAACTACATGTCAACATCGCAACCAGGGGGGAGAAAAATTCATATTCTTTGTAATAAATTTCTAAAGATTGTCCACAGCTCCATAGGGATTGCTGGAGGAGGCGGGATTTATGACCTATACTGCAGCCCATCACAGGTGCTGTTCTTGCGGTGGCTTCAACCAGCAAGGAGGCAGAGAGCGTCCATTCTATACACAGGCTATGTACATAACTTTAACTTTCAAAGACATTATTGCAGCACAGGGGAACTCCAATCCATTGTAAAAATAAATGACAATTAAAGGGTCAGATCTGTTCTTTGTTTTTTTTGTTTTGTTTTGTGTTATGAAAAGTTATGTCAGCCAGAATCACCATGTTTATAACATTTAAATGTTATGTGCATCTTAGTTCACTAAATCTTAGCCTCCTGACCCACAGGTTTTCAAAATTCTACACTGTTAAACTAAAACACCTCTAATCTTATCAGCGTCTCCAGGAGCAGAATATCACCATAACAAAAGTCCAAAATGTGTATCCCTGGTTTTCGTGTTCACATATGCTGATAGCAATGAGAATTACTGAAGATTATTTCAGATGTTCTGACTATAAATACTCATTGAAGCCAAGCAGCAGCTCTAAATGATGTCCACAGATGGATCCATCATGGCTGAAGTTTGAGGAGCTCTAACAGACTGAGGACAGACGGAGTCTTTGCAGCCGGTGATTAAAAACCATCTGAGGGTTTCTACATGGACTTCAGCTCTTTATTCTGTGCTTCTCTAGCAAGAGCCTAAGTTGAGATCCAATAATTGGAGTCTGTGTGACCTTTTAACAGAGCAAAAACTTCATCATATTGGTAAAATTAGTTCTGCAGCACAGGGGTAGGTCAACCAATCTAATGATAAAGAAAAAAAGACGGTGGGAGCAGGAGCGTGTGGAGCAGTTTGCAGAAAATCAACAACATGAGCCGAGCTCGGGTTCCTCTCTCTGCCACTCAATGAGGCGCCCCGGTGCTCTTTCCTCTCCAGCATTAACCAGAATCATTTGTACGGAAGTCAGCGTGTCACCTGCACATTTCTAATCACATTTCACAGACACTAGGCGCTTCTGAATCACTGAGCCTTTCCTTTCTTATCCTCCTCTTACTTGTTTAGGAGAAACTGAGCTAATAGAGGAGGTATAATTGGTGTAATTGTGATCAAAGAGCAAAATAATGGATAATGTCTGAATGGTTGCAAAGGTCTCAGACTGTGATGAATGCCTCCAATTTTTCCTTCTGTTTTGCAAAAGCACTCCAGCGGTGTCATTGTGTATTAAAGAAGCTGCTGCCTCCAGTGCTCTGCTTCACAAATCAATTTTTCTTTACCAGAAAACGGCAGAAAAAGGTCTGCAGAGGCCTGCAGGATAACATAAAGTTACACACTGTTCACAAAAATAAAATCATGCAGTGGGAGCACAGCGGGAGGCCTGATGTCGTGATTTCAACCTGAGCAGAGACGACAGCAATGGGGAAGCAAAGGAGGATGGTAATTTTTTAAGTTCATCAGAGCTCAGTTACAACCAGTAAATGACTGTACTGCAAACATCAGGTACAAAATAAGATGTTTTAAGTCTGTGCTGTGTCATACTGTCCACAGTAACACCAGTATCATTTCTAACATGATGTAAGGAGCCATATCATGGCATCACAGTCCATCAAGGGCTGGGTGGTATGGGAAAAAGTCTATCACAATATATTTTTTTATATCAGTCAATATCGAAATATATCACGCTATAAAAAATGAAATTCAACAGTGCTTATTAGTAGCATGTTCTCTGCAACAGAATAAGCTACTGCATCTGTGAGGTCTTTGCGTCTCTTTAACATTTTGTTGTAAGGCGTTGCGCTAAAGGAAGCAAACCGAATGGTCGGCAGTTTCGGCTGCACAGGCACCAAGGACTCCTTGCCCTACTCGGGGTTTGTAACCTTTTGCATTGCGCGTGTTCCGCCATGTGGCACTGCTTCAGGTGGTGAAAAAGATTTGAGGTATTTCCCAACTTTGCGAGAACATGTACTTGACATAATTTGCAATGCACATCAGTGGCGGCCGGTATACGAGGGCGCTGCGGGCGGAGCCCCGCCTGAGTTGCGTGAGCAAAAAGAGATGTCTGCTGTCTCCCTGAAAATTATTCTCAAAGTAAGGAAATGGCGCTTTCATTTTAATCATTCCATTAAATGTGTATTTCAGTCCGTTAGCGATCTCTCCACCCAGCACCGGGGCGGACTCGGAACATCTGTTGTCTCACGCATGCTCAGATCACAGTTGGGCATGAGCGTCAGGGGCGCTACGGGCCAGTGCCCAAGCTTTCTGCTCCCTCACGCATGCTTAGATCACAGTTCTGCATTAACAAGTTAGCTTATCCTAGCTACATAAAAAAAATATCTTTAAGGGGTGCCAGGGACGAGCGCCCAAGCGTCTCTAATTTGAATGACGTAAGCACGTTCATAACCAGATTGGCCACAAACAGACGCATAGCTACAATGTGAGTCTGTCGTAGCTAGCTGCTCTACTCAGAGCTGGTCCGCCCCTCACTCTGCACTTGGCTGCTAATGACAGAGGACGTGGGAATGACTACCGCAAACCCCCTACCGAGTGATTTGCCAGAGAACGCTGCGCTGTCCATCAAGTAGGTCCCGTTTGGGAGGAGAACTCTGCAGGACTAACTAAAGCTGAAAGAGCTCGGTCCGGATCGACCAGACGTCGCCACTCAGCAAGTGACCACCGAGAAGAGCAGACAATATATACTGGCATTTTCAAGAGCATGGTATAAATGCATTGCATGGCTAACTGGAAGTCCGAAGAGTAAGGCCCTTTTTTGTTTCCCATGTAAATTAATGGTGACAAAAAGAAATTATAAAGCTGGCAAAATAAAATTTCAGCTACTGAAACAGTCACTCAACAAAATCTGTTTGTAGAAAATTAGTGTATGTAAAGATTAAAACCTAATATAAACCATAAATTTATCATAGTGAGACACTACATAAAAGCCAGACTAAAAAGAAAGCTAACAGACAATGTTCATGCCACAATGTTAGAAATCAATAATTTTCAAGGCAGGATGAAAACATCCTGGAAAAGTCCTGGAAAATGATTTCTATAAAAGAGTGGGAACCCTGTATTTGTTCACCCAGTTTCAATTCAGTTCAACTGAAATATCAAATGTAGTAAAACTGTTCTGTATTTAAAGCAGATGTTTGTGTTGTTTTCCTTGGCTGACCACTTTGATATGCAGCCTGATTTGTTATAGATGTGGGTCTGCTCTTCACTATTTTTCTGCTGTTGTCTTTGTGTGCTCCTTTGCTGTAGCCTAACCTGTTGAGATGCAGGTGGATGTACACGAGTACACTGCTACTGTCAGTTTCTATATCATTGGATTACATTGACTGTAGGTAGGCTGTGTGTCGGCTATAATACCCTGTTAATGAGTTGAAATACAGTATCCCCACCACATTTGTCTTTGTAGGTCAACATCGTATGTTTCCTTAGTTATTTTCTTAGAAAGCATCAGAATGATTCATCTACCTTTTGAGAATGAAAAAAAAATCTCCCGGGGGAGGATACCCCCGGACCCCCCGACAGGGCTCCGGTTTCCAAAACTTCAGCCCCATCTATGATTTTTCTCACCAGCTGCCACTGGTGCACATTACTCTGCTTCATGTCCAACCTCAAAAGAACAAAATACCTCGGCACTACCGACATTTTTGTGTCAGTGTTGTTGATGATGTTCGACGTGAAGTGGACCCAGAGCAACTCCACTTTTCATTGGCTATTCATATAGCCTACCAAAACATGGCCGAACGCCGACTATCGAAAAGGATACTGACCATGCTTTATATTGATATTGATGGAAATTAATTTTCAATATACATGTATCGTTATAGTTTTATCACCTGGCCCTAGGTCAGAGCAAAGGCAGGCTGTCTTACATGCTTCTCAAGAGCTCCGCCTCCTACTTTCAGTCATTGGGTAAACCCTCCTCAAGTTTTTTCCCAGCCAATAACACCAGCAATTAATGAGAGCGCTTGCTTTCTCTGCTTCTCTATACAACCATAAGCGTAGATGCTCTGATGGCCGATAAAGTTGTAAAGCTAAAAACCTTGTGTCACACCTAAATTTGACTCAGAAAGGAGCAGGTCTAAGTCTTCATAACCAGACTAATCAGTGTATTTAAGATCATATTAGCGGGAAAAGCATCAGTCATGCAGCTTAAAATGAAAGTGATGTCAGAAAGTGCATTAGAGGAGTACTTCAGTATCTCTGTGGTGAGGTTGTATGAGTCACCTGTTAGTGTATTAGCCACAATGGATGTTAGTTCTGCCCCTTAAATGAGGAGCTGTTGAAAGAACCAGCACCCAAGCAAGGCTACAGTTTTCTCAACTTCAACCCGAGCATTCATCTCAGTGTCCACATTTACCTCAGAAATTATTCACTATAATTTCTTTTGAAAGTTGTTAGAATTTCAAGTTTTTCAAAAGGAAAATGACTAAAACAGGACCAAACCAGCAAAGAGGTCAGACCATACACTGCAGATTTTTGCACTTTGTCCGCTGACGGGAGAGTAATATTTTATTGTTTTATTGATACAAAGGTTCAAAGGTTTCTTTATTTATACCTTGCGGTAAATTTTGTTTGCAGGCAGGAACCCAGCCGTCCAGATAAGACACACATAAAACAACAATACAACAATCAAGTACTAAAAATGCCAATCGTTAAGAGCCATAAAATCACATAAAATCTCTCCAGAGCCGAAGGTTCAATAAGACTCCCTCATCTATTAGCCCTGCCATTGAGCAGGGTACAATCAGAAAGTAATATTTTTGTCAGGTTGTCAACAGCTCATAAATCAAAATCTTAGCATTAGTATCATTGCTGATTTTTGCTCTGCTCTGTATCCTGAAGGTCTTTGCTGCTGCTCTCCTGATGATCTGATCCTCATGAAATTCTACAAATGCACATGACAGGCAAGGAAGAAGGGTTTTCACTTATTTGGACCACACTTCTCAGAAAAACCTACATCTGGAAATACTTAAAAATTATTAGAATAAATCATTATGATGGAAAACATATTTGAGGAATATGATATTTCCTGGTTTGAGGAACCAAATTAATGTCTATTTGAGATCCTCAAGCAAACAGGAGTACAGTCTGTCAGAGAGAGACTTACAGATCTGAAGCCAGCCCCTGACACATCTGTCATCATGAGAGCAGATGGGCCTGAGGTCAGGCCGCGGCTGACCTGGGATCAGTTCGTTCAGACCACAGAGAGCAGTCCTACCTTCAGGGACCACTGACTCGTGTCCGACACTGAGTTAGGGTAAGGACACACACACTCACACTCGCACAAATACACACACTCTGAGCACTCAATCTAAGGCCTGTTTACACACACACACACACACACACACACACACACACACACACACACACACACACACACACACACACACACACACATAGACACACACACAGAAGCTAAAGCCAACACACCATCTGCTGCTCCTGTGTTTGAGTTCCAAATCCCAGTTATCAACAAAACACACAGAAGACCTCCAAACTAGCCCCTTGGATACACCATCCCCTTTGAGAAGAACTCTAATACACACACATACACACTCAGTCACATGTGCACACACACTCACACTTCTGCACCCAGATCAGATGGAACCAGGTGGATGGAGTCCAGGTGAGGCACTCATTTTTCATTAAAAGTGACAGAAAGAGGGAGATGGGTTCCTCACTTCTTTCTCCAAGTTCACCTCACCTCACTCACTTCTAATAACCCCGCCTCCCTCCCTCTCTCTCTCCCTCTCTCTCTCTCTCTCTCCCTTCACTCTATTTTCTCTCTCTGCTGACCTGCGATGATTGCCGCTCTGTTTCATCAAAGCAGGTTTATGAGGCTTGTTTCTTCAGCCTCATTGCTCTTCATAGATGTCATCGTCAGTCACTGGGGATCAATACTGATAAGACTCTCTCTCTCTCTCTCTCTCTCTCTCTCTCTCTCTTTATTTTGTCCCCTCTTTCTCTCTCTTTGTCGCACTTGAAGTCCCCTGTTGTTCAGGGCAAACCTTACCTTCACGCTGCTGTGGAATAATAACTAAAAGGTGTGTTGTTTGGTTGGCATTTTCTGAGGCATGACAGCAGAGTGTGTTTATGCAGAGACTGGGGGGTAAACATTAAAATAATAAAAACAAAGATTTTATTATCGGCAACAAAACCTTTTATGTTAATAATAATAGTACGAAACAAAACCGATAAAGCACTTTAGACCTCTGAAAATAGATGTGCCTAACCCTTTCATGCATGAATTGTGGATTAACAGAGCTGTACTTTTAAAAGTGAGTTGTACCTTTAAGCCGTGACCCTGAACAGAAAAAGCAGTGAGGCAGCTCACCTGTGTCTTGTCTTTCCTACCTGATGCTGATCTGTTGCTGAAATGAACCCTTCACTTTACATGCTCATATTTTGGTGAACAGTGAACCAAGCAGCTCATTTCTCAACTCATGAAGAAGAACAAAAACATGAGCATTGTTCAGGGTAGAGTCTGTCAGGTCTCAAGATTCGCCCAGTGCTGTATTACGGCAACTGAAGTCAGACATTCGGCACCCAACGATACATTTGTCTGCCTTCCAGCAGATGTTGTAAGTGGTGCCAATAAAAAAGTTTTATGGGCAAATCAGGAACAATCCCACTGGACTAAAACCCTATTTAGTTTCAGAGAGGTAAAACTTTCAGCGTGTGCTAGTTTACTGAGTGTTTCTTTATCTTCAGCTCTTTTATCGGTCAATGACTCTGCAGCAGAATTTAATAATCCACTTAGTTTTAGGAAATGTCAGAGATTGAGGAGTAGGAATTGAAGTCTAAGACGCTCCACTGATGGCTAATGTAGGTGCAACTAAAACACAATGAATGTGAACTAGTTTATTGACATTTGTATTTACATCAGTGGATCCCTCTGGGGGTTTATACAGCTAACAGAAGTATATACTTCATCACCTTTCTACAAGCAATAAGATCCTGGTTATTTACTTTTACTCATGTCTGAATTTTCTACAGCTTTGTTGCTAATAAATGTATTTTGTTGTTTATGACTGTAAGCAGATTACCTTTAACTTTTCTGTATTCTTTTGAAACACAGCTTTTATCTTATGACCACACAAAAACAATTTTAAGGCTCATTTATGCTCAACGTTTCATACGGATACAGACATGTACAGGGCTCTCAGTCCGTGCTTCGCATTCTTTTCGTCCGTATTTCTGCACATATCCTTGAAGTTTACAGATAGGGGCCAGACGGAGCAATACCACTGGAAACTGTGGGGGCAGTGTTGCAGCTGTCACTACCTGATACGCATCTCTAGAGGGAAATGAAGAAGATAATGGCGGGGCTTTTTGAGGAAAGGTTGTGTGAGCAGGTACGTGACTACAAACATATATATGATTAAACTTATCCAGGACACCGGGATAAAAATAAACTCCAGAACATCTGGGAGGAAATTGGGAGGGAGCTAAATGCCCCAACGGCCATCCTGAAGTACTGAAAATGACGATTGTCGCCAATTTCTGTCATCGGTATGACTAGAGAAAAGAACTCTCCGTCCTCCAACTGCGAGGCATTTAGTGGCCTGACTGACCACCACCTTCTCCAATACTGCCTTTGTTTCTGTCTCTTATGCAAAAAATACACTATCACTAGCTCTTCCACAGTCGCCATGTTTCTTTTTGTTTGTTGTTGTCAGAAACTTTTGACTCCAGCCTGCCCCCTGGTGGATGTAATGGTTAACATCCAAAGGACGCATGGAAGTATGTGGGCAGTGACAGAGTTATCGTTTGAAATGGACGCGTACATTTTCATACGTATAGCAAGCATAAGTGAGCCTTTAGGGGATAAGTGATACAAATGAGCATCCATCATAAACACTATGATGCCTTCAGAGATACTGCTGCCACAAAGACAAGGTTCATTTTGTTGAAGGATTATCTTTCAGCTCAGATGGAAATGACTACACTACAAGATATAGTACCAAAGGAAATTTAAATGACCAAGAGTAAGAACAAAATTGATCCAACACAGTGACGTACAGAGCAATAAAAGAGCACTATTCACCTTCTGACACATCACACCAGAAACAGTGATGTTAGATTTAAGAGTTTATTGATCACACAAAAGATCAAGATGCACCCAGGAAAATATGAAGGTCAAAGCTAAATTAATCTGAAAATGTTAGTCTGACTGTTTTGTGTTTTGAAGTTGCTAAGTATGAGACAAAAAAAAACTGAACTGAACTGAAAACTAAGCTCATGTAGAGTGAGCACAACCCTGTCTGTCTTATTTCTGTATACTTTTGGTCAAGTATAAATATCGTAAGGGATTCATGCCACAAGTTCAGCGGACACAGAGCCGACAGGTTTCCTGCAAAGTGCCTACTGCAGAAACGCAAACAAGATCAGTGTTAACGATCAACCACAATGCAACACTGCAAAATCACTGACTAACAACATGTCTGAGTCACCAAGTATCAGCAATTATTAAATAAAGGTAAACCCGTCCACATACTAGGGTGCACTTGGGTAAGATATTTAACCCTAAACTGCCTCCACAGACTGCACCCAACAGTGTGTGAATGTGGTGTGAATGGATTAATGTGCTGTAAAAGCACTTTCAATGGTCAGAAAACTAGATAAAGCACTTTGTAAACATTCACTCTTTCCCATTCAGCTTGTTGAATAAGTACTGCAGTGCTGCAGAAAGGTTGTGTTCACTAGATGAAATAAAATATGTTTGAGTTGTGCAGACCCTGACTAATGTCCCGACATCACTGTTCTGCATGGGTATGATCGGTGTTTGTTTTTTGGAAAAGACTAGAGGGAAATAAACGTCTAAATATTCCAAATATATGACACATTTTCTGTTTTTTTAATTTGGCTTGGACTCAGGTAAATCAGGGAAGGCTCTCTGTTTAAAGAGTGCTTAAGCAGAAAGAAAAAGGAGATCACTGACTCAGGTGACCTGATCTCCTCTGGCAGATCGCCCTACAGCCTCAGGGCCTCAACGGCAAACTGGAGCCAAACTAATAAATCAGTCAACCAACACAGATACACTGTAAATCAGTATTGACATAAAAGTTTTCTCACAAATGCTGAGTTGAAACTGACTCTAACAGAACATACCATGCAGAAAAACAATGTTGGGGATGTTTCAGAAAGGTCATCATCTCAAAGTCACCCAGGAGGCGGCGCTCTGTTTACAATCCTCTCAGCACTGTCTGAAGCCTACATGGCAGATTACCATGCCGGCAAAAAGGGTATATTAAGAAAAAGTGCTCTGCGTAGCTTTGAAGAGACATTTGTTGAAAAATCGATTAAGTGAAATGTCCCCTTCTTAAATCTGGCAGTTTATCAGCAGGACTCCTCTACTACCGAGCCACGCTGTTGTAATCCCTGCAGAATGTGGTATGTCATTGTCTCGCTGAAGTATGAAGTCTTTGTCTATATGGCAGCAGATGTTGCTCCTAAACCTGTAGAGATTGTTTAGATACTGTTCAAACTGCCCATGACATGGACTCTGATGATCCCCATGCAATCAGGGATGCTGGCTTTGAGCTGATGACAAGACTGTTAGTCCCTCTATTCTTTAGAGCAAAGGAAGCTTCATCCATAATCTCCAACATGACTGTCAAATTCAGAACAACTTCCCCCCCAGTCCATGTTCACAATCACTTTGAGCGTGATTTTGAGCCCATGCAATAAATTCCACTCCAGAGTCCTTTCTGTTTTAAAGGTGGGGTAGGCAGGATTCCGTTAAAGATGCATCTTTTTTGTGGTGTGTAAACAAAAAGCTTTAAAAATCAGTTATTAGCCATTAGTTATTGATGACATTTGGGGATATCAGGATATCGCTGTGTTTTGTTATGTCTGTGTAGTCAACATTTAAAATTTTTTGAGCATCCTGCTCCTTCTGACTGTAAACAAAGCCGTTCTCCACCTCCCCTAACCTGATTGGTTGTGAGGCAGACGCTGCTCCCTTGTGTTGTTCACATGCTTACTGTCAGATATTGTAGCGTGCTACAATAACAGACAGTAGAAAGCAACTAGAAAGTATAGAACATTTTCTGAATCCTCCTTTGGCCATTACTCCCAACACAAACAAGAAAACGAAGTAAATACCAGAGACTCTGGCAGAATAACAGGCACTTAAAAATGAAGCAAAAACGCTTTGGGGATGCTTCAGGCTCTTATGGACCCTGTAACCTTTCTGCTGGACAGGTAAATCGTTTTAACAAAGTAAGGCAAGTGTCTGTAACAGAAGTGTTTCTTGTCAAACGGGACCTGCTGCGTGTTGTAGTGCCGCTAAACTGTTCACCTCGGGTCCTGGAGTACGTCACTTTATCCTAGTTGTAGAAGTCCTGCAAATATTGTGTTTGCTGCTAGTCTGTTGGCATCTACAGCAGCACCAATGTGTTTTACTTGCACGTTGACTGGGCCCCATTTGTAGTTATCTGAAGTATTTATCTGCATTATATCTGAATTTAATTGAAACGACACGAGCGAGAAGGAGCGTCTGTTTGTGGGCGGGGCTTGCTGGAGCAGAAAGGGAGGAGAGAGGAGGAGCTGAGGGGAAAACTGGTTGGGAGGGGTAGAGTTTACATTCAAGATTTCTCCCAAATACTGGCACTTCCTCAGATCCTGCCTACCCCACCTTTAATGCAGTGCTGACTAAGGGCCTGAAGATCAGGGCCATCCAGTCTTGCTTTTGGTCCTTGGCCCTTTTGTACAGAGATTTCTCCAGATTCTCTGAATTGTTTAATAATATTACTATGAAGATCAAATCCACTCATTCTTTGACATTTCACTCTAAAACTGTTGAACTAATTGCTCACACAGTATCTCACAGAGCCGTCATACTCTTCCCAATATGTTCAGTTCCAACATTTTAAATGCTCTCTTTGCACTATTTTCAATTAAATTTAGGCTTTAATGATTTGGGATACATAAAGATCCACCTCTGTTGTATATATTCATGTTTATTACATTTCATTACCAATTTCAGATTCTATCTTTTTGTGGTCCTGGTCAGATTTTTACAGTTCAATTGTCTGAGCATACACAGTCTTTCTCTTTTGCAGAACAAAACCCTTCCACTTAAAGCCTGTGTCCACGCCTCATACATCCAACCACAGACTTAAGTTTTCAGGCTTAAATGACTGACCTCCTCTTACTTATGTAGTAAAAAGTCGGTTTCTGAAGGATCCTCTTATTCTGAGTGTGAAACTGAGAAAGGCTTCTAAGGAGAATGGAAAAGGAGGGAGACTGTTTGTTAAGGTGTTATGATATTCCCTCTAGGCTGCTTCGCTCCCAGGGTATCAGTATCAGTATGGGTCCTCAAAACCCAACTAGTGGCTTCAGGGTAAAATGAGTCCTGTTACGCACCCTCCCATCCCAAAAAATACACACAAACACTCACACCTGCCTGCACCCCGATAAGACGTCAACCCCCGCCGCTCCAAATGTGTTTGCACACTGGTGTCGGTTGACTGCACTTCCTCATTGAACGACTCGAACAATTTATTCTGACGCGCCGCTGAATCCAAGAGGGAATTTAGATTGAGATGGAAAAAAAAGAAAATCAGACACGACCTGAAAGCCTGGAGGAGGAGAGGGGGGGGGAGGAGGGGGAGGTAAACCTGAGGAAGAGAGACGGGGAGATAAACCAGCCTGTCACTCAACATTACAGTGTCACTACACACTGGACAATCATTAACATGGCTAATGAACAGAGCGGGCCACGCCGCAGCACAGACTGAATCCTATAAAAGCCTCAGTGAGGGAATTTCATTATCTTGCTGCAGCTCAGAGAGGACGTCTGAATCCAGATCAGACGGATCCAACACCACAGGAACTTCTGCTGTTAGCATGGAGTAACACGGATCATTTCAATAAGTCTGAAAAAACAGGAACAAAACCTCCTGATCTGGACTCCTTTGACTTAAAAATTCACCTTCAAATTCTCAGTCTGACTACAGTCACACTGAAGGAAACCCTGCAAATAAAATCCACAATACACCCCTCTTTATTTACATGTAGCCTGTTTTTTTTTTTTTTTTTTTTTTCTTGAAGACAAGCATAACTGTAGGAATGGAGAAAATCCTCCTCTGTAAAGTATGACACAGTGGTTCGTTCCTCTCTGTTTCTTGAAATCACAATGTTAAAATAGTCATTAAGAACAGGTGTAAGGTCAGGTATGTTCAAAATAAACCAGGACTCAAGAGGATACTTCTCTATCATAATCAAAGCAATATGTCATATCTTTTTCCTCTTTTTGAAATATTACTTTTAAATATATTTTATTGGGAACTTCATGGCTGTGGAAGCAACTGATTATCAGAATTAAATTCAAAAGCTAAATTAAAATTAATTATGAGAAATACTTCAAAATTTCTAGAATATGTGTGAATTATTTCACTTATCAATGAAATTAATATTCAATCATGTATTTGTGATTTAATTTTAAAAGTTCACATTTCTTTGACATAATTAAAATATAAAATAACTTTGTTTTTCACAAAAAAAAACCTACCACCACTTAGTTTTACCATTATTAAAGTGAATAAGCAAATTCTAACAATGCATTAGCAGTAATGCTTTTAAATGTTAATACTGGAGCATTGTTTTACTCATAAATCAGATAGATGTTCAATAATCTACTTTGTAATATAGTATTTCTCTCCAGGTATGCACACTGCCACACAACCAATACGACAAATGGTGGTCTGTGATGGGGGTCTGCTTATTTAACCTTAGTGCAGATGTTTGCTCCAGCTGTGGTACACAGGAGGTGATTGTGTTCTTTCTACAACTGAAAATCACATAAATGTTCTTTCAAATCACTGTTTTTGAACTTTCTTCATGTTATTATCTATCTAATGGAAACATATTGAAATTCTTAAGTTTTCAACATCCATATTAAGTCTGTTTTTTTAGCTAAATTATCTGAAGACAGAACCTTGTTTTGATCCTGACAGCAATTTTAATAATATTTAACAATAAGATAGACGAATTGAATAAAACGGGACTAGTTGATGGTTTAATATGATTAAATTAAAAAAAATTCAATAGTGATATTATCAAAGATAAATTTTATAAATGATCAAAAATGAGGCATCCATGAATTAGTGAGCATAAAGCACACAGATCTCTTAATACTAGAATAAACTGAACCAGGAGAAAAAGTTTGAACTTCTATCTTTGTGTATCTATTGTGAAAGCCACCTGTGGCACCTGTTTCAGGCTGCCAGGGCATCTAACTGGACCTTTAGAGGTCATCTAATTGCAGTGACAGCCTCTGATTGGTCAACAGACCAAAACAAATATGGCAGCCTCTGTTTTAGTATTGTCAGCTCTCAACATAGAATATACAATTTCTCTAAACCATTAACACATAAATCATCACAGATTGCTCTTGTTTATGGGGGACTGGATTTGGATAGTATTTAAAAATACATGGATTTTCTCTGTGGCATAGAAAAGCCCCTGAGTGTTGCAAAAATGCAGTTTATCCCCAGAAAGCTGTCGGTCTCACAAAGTGGGTGGATTTTACAGTAAAGTGCCCCATCCTGCTGCTCTAATTTTATTACTGGTATTGTAAACACAAAAACATAATGTTGTATACAACAGCGTAAACCCTTGGTTTCATTGTCAGGTTTTTTTTTACATTAACTAAAACTGTAAGCTATCATTACCTGACTGCACAGATCAACAACAGAAACTCTGCAGATTTATTTCATTGAACAGTGATGGCAGTATCGTAGGAGCTACTTTCACTGACTGAGGACACACATACATTATGCCTATGACTATTTGTCTGCTTTCTCACCAGTCACCCAGCTGGGCTCAGTAATTCTGACTGGTCAAAACCTGAACACACCTGTCATTAAATCAACCCACATAAAGGAATCAAGTACATTTCCACTCTGCCTGTTGACCTTGTGGCACATTAGTCTCCTTCTCAGGCAGCAGCAGCAAAGATGTATGGGAGCAGCCTGATGAGTGACTGGACCCACACCACCTCCAATTAGGGAAAGTTGGGATCATACTGTCCTGCAATCCGTGCACCAGCAGCAGAGCTGGTGAGAGCATCCCTAAAGCCAGGCACCCCAATTTCACATTTTTAACAGATTTTGAAGCGATCAGAAAGCACACTTGAAGACAGACTTCCCAGTTTTGTGGTCTTCAACAATGTGGTGTACACAGAACACCGAACACATGAAGACTGTTCTCCAGCAGCCACAGTCCCGACTCTCAAAACTGTTTTCATACAAAAAGGTTTCCGATGATATCAGCCTTGCGAGGGTTGATTCTAAAATGATGCCTTTTAGTTCAAAATGCCATTAATCAGCATTTAATTATGAATTAAAAAAGATTCATTGTATTGGTCAATCTCTAATGAGCAGGATAATGTAGAGGGAGCAGGTGGTTTTGCAGGTTCTGCTCACGCTGCAATTAGCACAACCATTCAACCACCTTACAAAAACTCCTCAAATATTTGACACTAAAATGTTTTGAGACAAAAATGCTCCATTTTCATCAACATATGTGTATTGTTTTTGTACGTTTTCATATTGAGTTCTGAACTGTTTGGAGTGATTCTTCTCCCTCATTAGTTCAGATGGTAGTAAAATTAATCTAATTATCTATTTATTAACTTTTGCATCTCTATTGATTATGTAATTGCTTTGTATTTTATCTACTGCTTGTGTATTTATTAATTAATTAATTATTATTATTATTTTTTTTTTGTCGTGTGAGTATGTGGTGAAATGTGTGGGTTGTCTGCAGCAGACCCCTCTATCCAAGATAAATTTCTCCCATGGGAGACAAATAAAGGCACTTTGACTTTGAAAATAATATTTTTAATTTCCTTGAGGGAACCTTCCCAAAAGGATAAATAAAGTAGTATCTAATCAAAACACCTGCAGTCACAGGGCCTGTAATTTTTTTTTTTTTTTTTTTTCAGCAAAAAGCCTCAATATGAGAAATTTCTGACTTACCCAAACATCAACCAGATCAGAAACCATGTGAGACTTAAGGCACCAGAAACTTCTGTGATTACTGACTATGCATTGAAAGACATGGACTCAGTGTGCATGTGTAGCCTTTTCATTGAAGCTCCTCTCACATCTCTGCTCCTGCATGATGTGAGTGTAACTGCCCTCCTTTTAGCGTGTCTGCATGAGACACTCTTCAGTCCTCCTCTAACCTGGGTCACTTGTAACAGCAGCCAAAGAGAGTGCGTGAAAATAGATTTAAAAAGCACACAAAAAGCTTAAGCAACGGGTAAACAGCTTCCAGTTTCTTCCGCTCTGAGATGTAAAAGCAGAAATGCAAACTAAACCAAAAGCAGAGCAAGAAAAGGACTCTGAAATTAATCCACATATTGCGCACACAATAGATGTGCTCGTGTTGAACCTGTCTTTAAATACAGACATAATGCACCTCCTCAGGTGTCAGGGAGTTGAGACTCCTGCTGAGAAACATCAGAAAGTCAAAGAGAAATTACAAAATGTACCTAATTAATCCTCATTCAGATTGACAGATTCCTCGGTTCAGGTCATTATCACGAATCTCTGAAAATAACCCAGCCATGCATAATAATCGGGCTTAACTGTATGACTACTTACATCTTGTGTTGTCTTTATGTTTCAGTGATGTGTGATGTTAACATTGACTTTGTTTGTTCTGTCTCTGGTGTATATGTTGTTGATTTTATGCATCTTAAAGGCCCAATTACAGACAGATGCTGCACATAACCTTAAGCTTTAAAAGTGAAATACATGATATTAATCTCATTTTTCACAGTAACATCAAAGACATACACAATTTAACCACAAACAGCCCCCCTAAAAAACCACCACAGCTATTGCAAGCCTGTTAGTGCTGCAGTTTTAGAATTACTAATAAAGTCCCTCAACCACAAACAATTCTACCAATAATGCTCAATATATATCTGAGAGAGGAGATATTTTAAAATATTCTGTTATCCTTTTTAAACAGTTTCAATCGATAAAAACAGCTCTTAAAAGTTGCTTTGACTGACTTCCTAACATGCCTTCACACTCCAAGGCAGCAGGTGGCAGTATGCGACCGAACATTACATACAGCGGAGGAGGAGAGAAAGCACAGCTGCAACAAGCTGACCGCGGAGGAAAATGGAGTCACTGGTGCGGATTAGGGCTGCATGATAGATTGTATGAACATCACTATCATGATGTGTGCATGCCATGTAGCTGAACGTGTAATATCAGCCATACGACCTGAAGACACCATGCTATCACCACTTCCACATTGTTCAGGACTAAACAACAATAAAGGTTTATATTATTAATTCGTTAACTATTGATTAAGTAGTTTATGAAAGCTGAAAGATCTCATGTCTCTGCTCCGGCTTTGCCAAACCAAACACAATCCAGACCCCTTATTCTGCAGCATCCACCTGCAGACAGATTCTCCTCAACTAGAGTGAGGAGTGACGAGTTTGGGGCCTAAACACCAAACACAGACTGAGCTCTGTGGCTTCAAAACAACCAAATGTGACCTTTCTGATGTCACAAGAACCAAAACCAACAAAAGAGCTGGATTCCTCTCTTCAGTGGAGATGTACCAGGTTCAAAACACATTGACAGATACTGAAGAAATGCTACCATCATGTTTCTGTACTCAGTTTTGTAGTTTTTGAAAATGTGTTGGGTAACTCACCCTAAGTTGCTTGACGAAGTTTATGTCCCATGCAGCTTTGAAAAGAGCAACACCACACTTGCTCATCTTCACTATTAGAAAAAATTACAACATTTTGAACTTTTTTCAAGTGGGAGTAAAACACTCTTGTCAATAACATTCCAGTGAACTAAAATCTGTACTTTTAGTCAGACTGTGTTTCACACACCACTCAGTAATTCAGTAAATAAAACTATGAAATACTTCAGATGACAGATGACAGCACTTAATGAATGAGCTAAAAATATGTAGGAATAAAAGAAGATAAATACTCATAATTTAAAATAGAAGTAACAGTCTCTTTAGTGTGGTTTACATTTACTTAATTAAGCAGTCTAATTGCAGTGGGAAAGACGCAGTTATGAGTTTGAGTACTTCTTGATCTGATATTTCTGTATCTCAAACTACAGGATAATGAGTAAGATATTTTCACTTGTCAGCTTGGCATGGATGAAACTACTTAAGGCTGCAAAAGATGAAGCAAGTTTGTGCAGAACGTAGCTCCAGCACCACCATGTCACTGCATCAGTGCATCAGTGCAGACACTCTTATACTACAGAGATCCAGGGGTTATAAACATCAGAAGACACCCGGAATAGTATCTGTCTGCAGACCCCCAGACTGCGTATTCAGGACCACAATTCTGGGACCTGAGTTGTTAGCAACAGCCCCACCTAGTGGTCAAGAAGTGACACATTTTTGTGTTTCTGAATGTGGATTAGTGTGTGGCGTAACAAATTTGAGTGTCTGTTCCTGACCCTAACCATAACTGTCACAACAAAGCAGAGGGGCTCTAGGAACCCTGTCACATGGTTTAGCGCTGACCACTCCTGGAGGGATTTCTCCCTTTTCCCCTCAGGATGGAGATGCAGGCTCTCTCATGCAAACAAATAAGTGTACATTCCTCTTTTTTGTTCCGTGTACAATCAGTGCACTCAACTCCCATAACTCCTGAATTCACCCTTTTTCTTCCCTTACCAAGACTTTGATTAAAAAATGTCCAAAATGTCCTTTTATAGCAGACCATGATCCCCCATCTTTAAATGATTTTTATTGGCACCTTTTCTGACTCTTGAATAATGAGCACCGCTGCCTCTAATCATGTCTTTGTTCCTCATGTCACTGTAAAGTGTGTGTTTTAAGCTGCAAACCTCTAAACTGCACTGAACTTAAGGCGCAGTCCTGAAACTACAGCCTGTGTGCGTGTGTGTGTGCGTGCGTGTGTGTGCGTGTGTGTGTGTGTGTGTGTGTGTGTGTGTGTGTGTGTGTGTGTGTGTGTTCAACGTTGCTGGAGCTCAGCAATTAAAGCATCCAAAATGAAGAGTGTCCTCATGTATGAGGAGAGAAAAAACTTAAAGTCTCAGAGTGAAACGAGGAGAAAGACAGACACAAATATTATCCGCTTTTTTAAAGTGAGATAGTTCTTTGTTACATAGGACCTTCCTCTCCACACTGACCTGTACACTCGGTCTGAAAGGTCTGTAATACAGAGCAATCACCACAACCTCCACCCAGCTCCTTTTTCTCAATGTAGAAATTGTCCGTCTGAATCTCTCTTTGTTTCAGCTCTCTGTCACACACCTGTCAGTGCACACGCCGCCCAATGATATAACAAAAGGGATGTTTTAGGATACTACAACACCATTAACACTTTAAGAGGAACTCTCTGAGGAGTGTTTACAGCTCTGTAAATGAAAAACCTTTTGTCTTTTCGGTTTCTGCCTGTTTTACAATCCCACACACAGATCCTGAGCCCGTAACGCAAGGACAAACGCAGAGAAATGAGCCACACCAGGCCAGAATCTAGAAAATATCACTCTCACAGCAAAGAGACAGTTCATTACACTTAAAGACTTCATCATAAAGCTGCAAAAGCAATAGTTTTTAGCACTGCAAGTGTAAGAAGAGTCATTTTTTCTGCTTTTATGAACTTTTTGAGTAAAGTGTGTACCACAGTAATTTCCAAGGAATCTAGAGAGAGTTTTCAGTCTCATTTAGCTCAAATAAAGCAGGTCTTGAGTATTATTTTCACACATGAATGAATAAATGATCTTTGAAATGAATCTGTAAACTCTGCCAGAGTGGAAATGCATCTTCAGAAAACAATGAATCAACAAAAAAACAACAAAAATGTTGGGTTCGCTAGAAATTGAGTTGAGGCATTGATGATGCCTTTAGGAAATTTTTAATGGTGAAAAATCCGTCTGCACAATATGGAAAAAATCTTTAAACACGTCTTTACCAGACAAGGATAATTCACAATTTCGACAAAAACACTCTTACGAGCATGAAAAAATGACAAAGCAGATTATAGTTTGCAGAGGTCAGGCTGCAGAGATCTGCTCAAACATGGTTATCACTAAAACTGACAGAGGAGCGTCTACTGACCACCAAACACTGCAGTTTTAGCCCCTTTTTTCTTGTATTTCTTTTTGTTTCCTTAACATGTGATTGACACTGTCAGTTCAAAGTTAAATAGACGTTTCTGTGGTTTTTGATTTATTTAAAAAGATCCTGCATCTGTTTTTATTTGCGCTTTCTAACTTCAAAATGTCTTTTTTATGTCTTTTTAAAGCTCTTTGAAGTGTAAACAGAGCCAAATATAGCTCTAAAGTTAATTATATTTCAAGACCTCACTGTTGAAGATTTCAAAGTGTAAAATTGTGTTTAATAAAACAAATTAGGATATTTTCTGACAAGTGAGTTGGAAAAATCCTACATCCTTGTCTCTCAGAGGTCAGCTTCAGTCTGGTTTCTTCGCTCATCAAAAATGTGAAAGTTTGAGGTCAGGATTTGGTGCTGAAGGGCGTAGTCTGCTGTCATCTGAATACTTAAAGAACAGGTTATTTATAAAGTACAGAACCAGAGCCAAAGAGACTAAAAACATATTGAAGGATTAACAAAGTGAGTATCAGGCCACATGGAGCAATTTTGACTCTGCAGAAAAAGTTGGAATGAGAAAAAAAGTCAGACACTTCTTTCACATCCTCGTGGCCCCGAGAGCGTGAAATTGCCCAAACGAGCCAAAAAGCGGAGCTGTAAGTGAAGGAGCCAGATTACAGAGAGGCAGGAGGGTCTGCCTTTACTGTGAGTAAAATGTGAGGCTGCAAATGAAGTGTGACTTTTCGCTCTCCAGCCTTCTCTGCCATCCAACCTGTGCGTCAAAGAGCATCCGCACAAAGACTAAGGCGTCTGGATTTCTCTCTTTCATAGTTGAAATACAAAAAAAAAAAAAAAAAAATTAGAAGACGTACCTGAGAAGAAGAAAAAGAGCACAATCCCCAAGAGAATCATGACTGAAGCGCGGGACACCGGAGGAAAAACGCGGATGTGGGACGGGACTTGGTGCGTCCTCGGCTGGTCCAGCAGCACCGCTGTGCGCCCTGCAGACGGACACCCGGCCTGCCCGCTACATGCACAACACCGACACTATCCGTCCGACCCTTTGTTCTCCTCCTGTGTCGCTTTAAAGTCCCCCAAGTTTCAAATCCCCAGACGGAAAGAAGGAGAAGCCTCGGAGGAATGTGTCGGAGCAAAGTGCGCGCAGCCTCTGACTGTGTGAGAGAGTGAGGGAGAGAAAGAGAGCGAGAGAGAGAGAGAGAGAGAGAGAGAGAGAGAGAGAGAGAGAGAGAGAGAGAGAGAGAGAGAGTATTTGTGTGTGAGTGTTTGTGCCAAGACTCCAGATTCACAGCGAGGAGATGTCAAGCGTCACCAGGCTGCTGCTCTGCCCGCGGACAGTCATCACGACGCGGCTCCACTGCTGAGGAGGTCCCGGTACATTCTGCGATCGTGATGCTGACAGGCAGAGGAGGCGCGGGTTATTAACTGGTGATATCCCTCCTCCTCCCCTCCCCACTCTCCATCCTCCTCCCCCTTCCTCCTCCTGAGATCATCATCATTTTCATCTCTTTCAGGACAATTTAAGTGAGGTAAAAACAACTCAGGGTGAGGATATACCTATGTGCTGTTATTCTTATTGACACTCAATTTTTCCTGTGAAAACTGACCTTTCAGACGTGCACCATGAGTAAAAATCTTCTACCCCAACTGATAAAGCCCCAAAATATTCTGTCCAAGTAATGAAGTAGATGATGAAAAGTGTTTGTCATTAAATGAAATTGATTTTTCTGTCTCTCCACAGTCAGTTTGAGTTATTCTTTAAGGTAGCCTCCTACAGCATTATTTGAAAAGTCTTTGCAAGATTAGTGATGCAGCTTGGAGCATCATTTTCTCAAAATGCATCAAAATCAGACATTTAATGTGTTGCATAAGGAAACATCTGTTTCTTTAGCACCTTTCACATCCCAGGAAGCTTTTGATAATGGAATAATTGTTTAAAGATGTCTGCACCAACCCTGGAATATCTTTTTTTTCCAATTTCTGGACATCTTAGTGACCACTAGCAGGGATTTAAATGTCATGTCTGACTGTCTGGACAAAATGTCTTCATCAGCAGCATGTCTCAAAACACAAATTGGTGGGAAATTTCCCCAATAAGTTCGTTTTCAGGTTTGGACAGAAATGCTGTCGGTGATGGTAATTCAAAGTATTCTTTCAGTCACATACCGATAGTTAGGACTTATGGTCAGCGGACACATCAAATCAGAGTGAGTGTGATGGGTTTAACACAGCCAGAGTGATGCAGTTTTTGTGAGAATAAACCCTTCTGCAGAAAACAAAGTCATACAAACAGAACCTCACAGTGAAGCAGATACATACCCTCAGCTATATCCATCTTTTTCTTCCTTCGTTCAAGTTTATTTTTGGGCTTTATGCCTTTATTTAGAGGATATGACTGTAGACAGTGTCGGAAACTAAGAGAGAGAGAGAGTAGCATGGCAGAAGACTCAGTCACCCAGTTGTTTCTGAAGCTGAGGTTTGAAGCCTGTTGGCAGCGGTCACCATATTGGAAATACTTACGCAACCCAGTTTCTGTCAACCTACCAGAGGGTGGTCTTCAGCCCCCTCACCAACAGCTACAGTGTGCCCCAATGCGGCCAAGTCAGCCATGCCTTTAATTCACCAAACTTGTAACCTTAATATCTTGAGGTAAACGTGTCTTTTAAAAAAAACTTCACTGCCCATCCAGTGGGTGCTGTAGGAGTCCTGAGCTATTCAGACAAAACTTTTTTTCTGAACCAGACTATTAGCATGTTATTTTTGAATTCATGTATATATGGTTTGTGCCACTTTTTCAACCACCCTCTAGTGGACATTTGGCGAATTGCTTTCTTAGCGATCATTTCTCAAAATGAAAGATTGCTGCTTGTAAATTACATGCAAAAGGGCTGCAGGTTGGATTCAAACCCAGGCTCCTCACTTTGAGGGTGGCAGCCTCTGTATATGGGTCACATTGTCATTATGTTTATAAGTTGCTCAAAAATCCATTTAATGCCTTAGTAAAGTTGAAATGGGACTCTTTAAAAAACATGCAAACACGTTAGTCAGGGGAAAAAAAAATCTATGGAGCTAAACTACTACCAAAACTTTACAAAGAGAATGAGTTTTGTCCTCCTGAGAAACTGTAAACTTAAATAGGACCCCTCCCTGAGGAGTTGTAGGACAAAGTTTATATAAAATGTGCTGTTAGATCAGGATCTGTGTACTATTACTTTTCTCTATTGTACAGGAATTTTTCGCAATGTAAAAAGAGGCGCAATTATTGGAGTTTTTCAAATTGCTGAGTGCTGTGGCTCCGTGCTGTTTCTTAATTTATGTATTTTTCATCTTATCACCATTTCCACCTCGATGAAGTATGTAAAAAGATAGAGTCTAAGGAAAAGCACAAGTAGATCTGGTGCCACAACTTGAGTTTTTTAGAGATATGCCATCTTCATGGTCTTTTATCAAGCCTAAAGCAAAATAACATCCAACTTTGGAGCAGGTCACCTGCTGAATACTTAAGTCAATGTGTGTTTCAGTTTTTCTTTTTTTATGAATTTGCAAGTGTCTACAAATATGTGTTTTCCTGTTAAAACAGTGTGCTGTGTGTACATTGAGAAAGAATATAATCCATTCAAATGATTTTAGCAAATCACTACAAATTAAAGGGGTCTGAATACTTAACGTACCCACTGTATCCTTATAAAGATGAGAAATGATAAGCGTCAGAGTGTTTGTTTCATGAAGACATTATGGTAATTTTAAAGAAAGTAAGGTTTTCAAACTCTAAAAAGAGCATAGGATCTAATCAGCCTCAAGAAACTGCAGGGTTTTTGGTGCTTTGTGATCATGAAAAAAAAACAAGGATCAGCTAAATAAGATGGTGGTCATTAATATTTTTTATTCTATATGTTTTATTTATATTTAGAGGGATTTTGTGAGTATGCTAAATCATCCATTGTGTTAGCTGCTTGTTATTCGTGTAACATGTTACCATGGTTGCGGAAAGTTGTTTCCTGTCTCTTTGATGATGTCACAAAGTGACTTTGTGACATCATCAAAGTGACATCATCAAACTAACAATCAAAGTGACAGGAATGGTTGCATGTATGCATGTTTGCATGTATAAGATCCAAACAACAAACACAACAGCTCATTTATTGTAGAATCTTTGCATTTATAAGACTTTAACCACAAACGCAACAGTTTGCTTATAGTAGAATCTTAGCATTTGTAAGATCTTACCACAAACGCAACAGTTTGCTTATTAATTTTAAGATAACACTACTAGTTAGGCTCTTTATTCAGCTAGTCTATACAGACACTGAAAGAGGAGATGACAACCAGCAACGTATTCAAGACCCTAAACTGGGCAAATATGGTAGAGGATGAGATGGATTTGGACACTGACACTTTTGTTAGCACAATGCCAGGGGTCAGCAACATCCTCATCCATGGGCAAGATCAAAACAGCGAGCAGCCCTCTCAGTTAGCAGCTCAAACCCCTAACCACATAGAAGAAGGGGGGCACCAGGCTGACCACAACAGCCAACAGAACAAAAGTAACAGCCACCACATGTGTAACCAAAAGGAAGAGGGAAGTCAAAAGTGTAATCCCCACCAGACCCAATACCGAAGGGTAGAGAGGGGACACCAGGCAAACCACAACTCCTACTATACACCCCACACAGGAAAACAGGGAGGCTACCAGGGTAACTCCCACCATCAGACCTCCTACCAAAGACAACAAGGAGGCCACCAGGAATACAACCACCAGGCAACTTACAGAAGACAGCAGGGTGGGTACCAGGAATACAACCACCAGGCACCTCACCAAAGACAGCAGGGTGGGTACCAGGAATACCACCACCAGGCACCTCACCAAAGACAGCAGGGTGGGTACCAGGAATACCACCACCAGGCACCTCACCAAAGACAGCAGGGTGGGTACCAGGAATACCACCACCAAGTACCTCACCAAAGACAGCAGGGCAGGTACCAAGAATACCACCACCAGGCACCTCGCCAAAGACAGCAGGGGGGCCAGCAAGGTTACCACAGCAATGATCAGGGTTCACACACTCCGAATCCTCAAAGAGGCCCCCCACAATGGATGGTGGAGAATTCTTTCAGACTTTGCATACAGGAACATAAGCTCCTCCTGCAAAAAGAAACACAGATGAGACAATTAGATAAACAGCAGTATGAGGCCAAACTATCTGACTGTGAAAAAGAGAATGAGCAGCTCAAGAAACAACTCGAACTCCTGAATCCATCTGACATAAAAGCAGTGAAAGTCTTACAGAACCAGCTGAAGACACAGGAGGAAGCCAAACAAGCAATGCAGATGGAGATGGAAGAGCTCAAAAAGAAGCTGGAGCTAGAGAGAAAGAAAGAGATCCCAGCACCAGAGAACAATCCTGCAGAAGTCCAAGAGTACCAAGATCTTGTCCTATCTCTGAACAATCAGCTACAGGCTGAAAAACTGAGGGCTGATGGCCTCTTCAGAGAACTGCAGGATGTTAGGCATACATTTCAATTGACAATCAGCCAGGATGTGAAGCAGGTTGAAGATTTGGAGGCTGAGAAACATGCTCTGGAGCAGATGGTGACAGACCTGCAAAAGGAGGTCTCAAAAAAAGCATCAGTGGAACTGAATAACACAAAGAAGATTCAAGGCCTCCAAAATCTTGTTGCATCCACTGAATACAAGCTCCTAGCTGAGAATGATAGAGCAAACCAACTTCAGGGTAAAGTGAAGGAACTCCGGCTTCAACTTCTTGAAAAAATTGACAGAGATGTGAAGTTGGTGGAGGAACTGATCAAAGAAAAGGCTTTCTTGGAGCAGAGGGTGATGGACCTGGAGAGAGAGGCTAGCAGCAGAGACTTAAGAGAAAAAGAGCAGCTGAAGAACATTCTGAACCAGCTGCACGAAAAAAACAGTGACTGTCTCGAGCTGGCCTCCAAGTCAAACAATCAAGAGAAGGTCAGTCAAGCTCTGCAGAGGAAGGTGGAGGAGCTGCATCAAGAGATAAATGACCTCATGCAGGACAATAAGGCAGAACCTCCTGTTGAAGAGGACCTGAAACAGGCTGAAGACTCCCTGATAGACACTGAGGTAGATACACCAAACAGAGTCCCAGAGAGTTCTGAGGTAATCCAGATGGCATCTGAAACCAGTCAGGTAACATCTGCGGCGCAGATCTCTATGTGGAGAGGTTTTAAAAAGTTTGTCACTCCTAGAAGCCGCCGCCAATATAAACATCTGAGACAGCAGTCAGAGGTATAGCTGTGACACCGCAGCCTCCTTCACCTCCCAATCCCCCTTTTATCACCCCACATCACACTCACACACACACACACACAGGTTGTAACAAGGAGGCCAAAAGGAGGCCTACACACAGCACAGTGGACCATGTGAAGTCCTGACAGAAGGAAGCAGCCAGTTTCACTCTGTCGTGACTTTACATGCTCCATTGTGTCTTTATCACAGGTTTTCTCCGGGTTGCTCCGGTTCCCCTACGTGTAAATTTGAAATTTACAACTTTAAAAAAATCTGAGAGGGTAAAGGGAGGTAAAGGTGTGACACTCCAGCTTTCTTAACCTCCCAATCCCTCCTTTATCTGCTCACAACACAATCACACACACAAACAGGCTGTAACAAGCCTACACACATCACAGTGGACCATGTTATGTCCTGACAGAAGGAAGCAGCCAGTTTCAGTCTGTCATGACTTTACATGCTCTGCTGTGTCTTTATCACAGGTTTCTCCAGGTTGCTCCAGGTCCCCCTACCTGTAAATTTGAAATTTCCAGCTGCGGCTGGTTGTTTAAAACCAAACAAAACTTAAGAAAAAAAAAAAAAAAAAAAACCCAGTAACTCCGCCAAATTGTCTCAGTTGGGTCATTTTTGCCGGTCCCAAGCCCGGATAAAGGAGGAGGGTTGGTATTGTGACAGAAAAAAAAACAAGAATTGACAGAGGAAAGTACATTTGTTGTCCTGAACACATTAAGGGTGTTTTTTACTCACTTTTTGATGACGTTGCTCCTCTCCCTTACAGCGTTCAATTTGGCCAATTATGCAAATTAGGCAAAGACGTCATTTAGCGACTTCTGGCGACTTTTAGGACAGCCAATAGCTACTTTCCTTACTGAGCAGTTGGCAGCACTGTCTGCCCACAACACAATTACACACACAAACAGGCTGTAACAAGCCTACACACAGCACAGCGGATTATGCCATCGTAGGATAATCCGGCAAAAGTGCAATGACAGATGAGGGAGAGCGAGAATCTTCTGTGCACGTGTCAACATATTTGGACTGTCAGATAGTATTAATAGTAGAGACATACACTACAGGCCAAACGTTTGGAAGCAAGATCAGATTTGTACAAAAAAAGACCATAGTTTCATTCATATGATTTGCAACACAATAAACATGACTATTGTGTAAAGAGTAACTTATCAGAAGACACTTTGACTATAATTATATGGTATTTGAGTTATTGTTACTTAGACTTTGCTTTCTTTAACAACAGCTTGGCATATACGAGGCATTCGTTCCACAAGTTTTCTAATGTATGTTCCAGGGATTGCATTCCAAGCTTTCTTAAGTTCATTAAAAGGAGACTGCTGATTTGTGTGACACGCTTTTCTGACTGACCGATCCATTTCATCTCACACAAGCTCTATTGGACAAAGGTCTGGAGACTGAGGGGGCCAAACCATCTTTTGAAGAACACCTTCCTCTTCTTTTTTGTCAAGGTAACCCTGACAGATCTTAGCAGAGTGCTTAGGGTCATTGCCTTGCTGCAAAACAAACTTATGAGCCACAAGTCTGAGTCCAGATGGAACAGCATGGTGCTGGAGGATGGAGTGGTACTGTTCCTTCTTCATGATACACTTTACTTCAAACAAATCTCCTTCTCCATCACCTGCAAAACATCCCCATACCATGGAACTACCACCTCCATGCTGAATTGTGGGTGTAACACATGGTGCTTTCAGACGTTCACCAGTTTGTCTGCGGACATAGACTCTGCGTTTTGAACCAAAAAGTTCAAACTTGCTTTCATCGGTCCAGAGAACTTGTTTCTAGTCATCATAGGTCAAATTTTTGTGAGCTTTTGCCCACTAATATCTGTTTTCTTGTCCTGTAGATGTAGTGTTTTTTGCAGATACACAACCCTTCAGACCAGCCTTTCTCAAACATCTTTTCACAGTTGTCAGAGATATGGGTTTCGACCTTGTCATGTTGATTTCCTCCCTTATTTTTTGTGCTGTCTTTTGCCGATCTCTCTTACTGGTGACAATGATATGTTTACCCTCTGCTTTTCTAGTAACTCTCTTTCTTCCAGGCCTTTTTCCATCATCATAACTTTGTAGCAATCAAGACAACCCTGGGTGTGAAACTCACACATTCCTCACAGGAAAGTTTCCTTATCTGGTCCCAGGACACAGGAAATAAATCTTTCCAGACTTGTTTGCACTTTCAGGTTACCTAAGTGACCCGACCGTAGGTTGACTAAACCTCTGACTCTTCACGATTTGTCAATTCGGAGAACAGAGACAGAGTTTTTATTACCTTTCAAACTGACTCCATCGCTGACCATCTAAATCAGGGGTCGGCAACCCGCGGCTCTAGAGCCGCATGCGGCTCTTTCTTCCCTAAGCTGCGGCTCCCTGTGAATTTGGAAAATGAATAATAAATATTTAATTTAAATGTATTTTATTAAGTTTTTTTTTAAATTCCAAATTCAAAGATTATAATGTAAGTAACATTAAATAAACCATGTTCAATTTTTTTATCGCTCAAAATATGCATCATAGCTGCCGACTTGGGAAAACCAAAAACCTGTGTGAAGATGAATGTGATGTCACACCGCTTGGATGTAGAGACACTGTGCGCTGAGGGTCAGGAGCGAAAGTCACATTAAGCAAGTTAATTTCACATTTTAATCTGCTATTTTTTTGCAAATATACATCTTACATTGTTAAGTGAAATTGTGTTTTTTATTTAATGCACACGCTTGTTGCACGATCATCCTCTCTACTCCTCCGAGTGTGGCCAGCATAGCAGGGCTCCGAGGGCGGAGCTTGCAGCTGTAAAACAGAAAATCACCCTGCGTCTGAGACTACTGTTTGGGTCTGCCAGAGATTCACAGCGATTTGAATGCAGAAATACTCAAAAATGCAATTGTGCACTTATATAACTTATGATATGTCCTGTAGCATCAGGAAAATGATGTATGAACATGTAGACAACAAGAATAACACAATTTTCATCAAAGTGGGTCTTCAAGGTTATTTCAAACTGTTCAAAATATTTTTGTTTGCCTGCAGAGACAACATTTCTTTTTTTCTGCAGCAGTTCATTTATTTCCTAAATGCAACTCACTACAGTTTTTTATACACTTTGCATAAAGGTAAAAAAAAAAATGTATATGCAATGTTATCTTCATTTTAGATGTCAATGGGGTTTTGTGGCTCCCTGTGTTTTTCTTTCTGTGGGAAACTGGTCCAAATGGCTCTTTGAGTGTTCAAGGTTGCTCACCCCTCATCTAAATAAACAATAACGCCTCAACCCAGATCTCCCATTTCAGATTTACTGTCTTAAAGTGTGTGAACATACGGACCCCAAGATAACAGGGGAACACTGACCTCCAGACCTCGGTCGTAAAACCCTGCTCGACCATACATACACTGATAAAGACTACATTCCTTTGGTGAAAGAATACAAATGACTGATCATGACATCTTATGCATTCAGCAATGTACTAATCTGTCTAATCATGAAATTTGAGTTAAAATGAGATGTTTCCCGTTTTTCTACGTTAGTTGGGGGCCGAAGACACATTTTACTTCAAGTCATGCAACAAATGTCCCCTTTGGTATGGAAGTACCTTAGGGTCATAGAAAACATTTTATCCAAAGAGACAAGTTAGATCACCCTTCAATTTTTTTTTAATAGCCATTTTAAAAATGGCCGCCGACAATAAACCGCTAATACACCGAACCCCATATCTTTTCTTCTGTTGGAGCTATAATCATAAGATTGGTGTCAAAGTGCACATTTTTGGGGTCTAGGAACTCAATTAAATAGGTTTCAATGTAAAAAACCCAATGCATCATTAAATACAATGACAGTGGGGGGTAAAATATGCTAATTTCATGAAAAAATGTACGTTTTGACAGGGTAACTTACTCCCCCACCCCTCCCCCTAAACTGAGATTTACTTTTCCTTTGGCATGGAAGTACCTTAGCGTCATAGGAAACATTTTATCCAAAGAGACAAGTTAGATCACCCTTCATTTATTTTATATACATTTTAGAAATGGCTGCCTACAATAAACCGCTTATACACCGGACCCCTTATCTTTTCTTCTGTTGGAGCTATAATCATAATATTGGTGTCAAAGTGCGAATTTTTGGGGGCTAGGAACTCAATTAAATAGGTTCCAATGTAAAAAACCCAGTGCATCATTAAATACCATGACAGTGGGGGGTAAAATATGCTAATTTCATGAAAAATTGTACGTTTTGACAGGGTAACTTACTCCCCCACCCCTCCCCCTAAACTGAGATTTACTTTTCCTTTGGCATGGAAGTACCTTAGCGTCATAGGAAACATTTTATCCAAAGAGACAAGTTAGATCACCCTTCATTTATTTTATAGACATTTTAAAAATGGCTGCCGACAATAAACTGCTTATACACCGGACCCCTTATCTTTTCTTCTGTTGGAGCTATAATCATAATATTGGTGTCAAAGTGCACATTTTTGAGGTCTAGGAATTCAATTAAATAGGTTTCAATGCAAAAAACCCAATGCATCATTAATTTCCATGACAGCGGGGGGTAAAATATGCTAATTTCATTATAAAATGTAAGTTTTAACAGGGTAACTTACCCCCCACCCCTCCCCCTAGACTGAGATTTACTGTCCTTTGGCATGGAAGTACCTTAGGACCATAGGAAACATTTTATCCAAAGAGACAAGTTAGATCACCCTTCATTAATTCTATAGACATTTTAAAAAATGACCATCGACAATGCACCACTATTACACCAGACCCCATATTTTTTCTTCTGTTAGAGCTATAATCATAATATTAGTGTCAAAGTCAACATTTCTGGGATCAAGAAATCCATATGAAAAGGTCTCCAGACTAAAAAATATATAGTCTTCTCATTACCCTCACAATGGGGGTAAGGATGCACATTTAATGAACAAAATAAGTGTCAAAAAGGTGACTTTAAAAATGCCCCCCTAAAAATGAAAAAGAAAAGAAAAAAAAACAGCCTCTTATGTACTCTATGTGCTCTATTTTCGTGCCTCGCTGGAGACATGCCGCAGGCGCGGCGTAAGTCAGGTCCGCCGGGCCGACAAGGCGTTCTCCCCTCCCTAACTCAGCTCCTCCCAGCGGCGTAAGTTGTAGGAAGGGAGGAGAGAGAGAGCGTGGAGTGGGTTTAACACAGCCGAGACCTGTTTTCGCCAATCACATAAGCTCCTCTCCTTGCCTTTAAATCCGCCACCGGCGAGGCATAGTACAATTTTCGGGAAGTAGTTAAAGAGATCAAGAGATGTCTGAAGACAGTTATGCCAAACGATGGTGACAGAAGGCAGCTCCTCAACAAGTGTCACTGTAAGCGCTGCATTGGGCGTCCTCCACACTCTCTCATCTGAGCACAGATGGATTTGGTGTGTGTAATGTTGGACCCACTGGTAAGACAAACACCCTTTTCCACAAATAAAGACACTCACATAAAGTTCCATATACTCAAACCTCACGTGACAAAGGTGGGTTGAGCGCACAGATCACAACATTAACTCCAAAAATGGCATTAAAATCAGAACCATCTGTGCATAAATGACGCATTGCGCTCAGTGGCCTGGCTCTTTCTTTCATAGATGTTGGCATATAAAATAAATTTGGCTCACAAAACTGATATTATAATATCCGCATGTAGGCTTAAAGTAAATGACTCATCTGATCACTGAAACAAATCATCTGTTCAGCCATTGCAGCAGCAGCTGCAGCAGGACGGAGAGAGGACACGGAGACATGTCCAGGTCGACCTGCGCGAGAAATAAGAGGAAGAAAGAAAAGGAGGGAGATGAATCACATATCTTGTTAACTTCATCATGTGTGTTTATTTACTAGATATTTAATTTAATGCGGTTTCAGCTGTGTTGATTCAGTCAGGTTGTGTGTCAGGGCAGATATAGATCAGAATATATCGATATAGATCTAAATGTATGTGCTGACTCAGATTATTAGTTTTTGATGATTATTTATTGCACTGAAATGTTCCTGACACTGTGGAAACCTGCCGGTGAGGCATCGGTGACATATGCCGATACGCCGCCGGTCTACCAAAATACCTCTAGACCAGCTGCGTTTCGCTTGCACTGAAAGCTGACCAGGTTTGAATCGGCGAGCTTTCAGCGCACTTTACACGCCACTGGCGAGCACGAAAATGTTACTGCGCCCGCTGATTCTGTCGACACCTCCCCCTACCACGCCACCACGCCCAGCTTGGCGGATCTCGGTTCGCCTCCGTGCGCTTCAGTCCACGAAAATACCAAACTGGCCTTACGCCGGGCTCCGCCAGACAAAAATACAACTGCGCGGGGTTCGCCACCCTCCGTCGCCTCACCGGCGTACATGAAAATAGAGCCCTATGTGTCTCTATCTGACTGCTGAGTGTTACACCTCTCGTAGCCAGTTGCTGCCACAAAACATGAATTCTATACCAGGGTCTGTGACAGCTGGATGAAATCAGAGGTGACAGAAAATCTGAGACACTTTGAGGTTCAGTTTGAGGTTTGTATTACTTTCCTATTTAATACAGAAGATACTCGAGAGATACTCAAGAGAAGTCTTATAAGTGGTGGAGAAAGTTTACAGGAGAGTCCCGAGTGATCAGTGTGTGATGCAGCATCCTGCCTTCATCTGTGGGGCACTGCACCTAAAAGCGCACAGATTACGAACAGTTTACGCCCGGCTTTTTGCAAAGCTGGGAAATGTAGTCTTTGGAAAGACTGATGCCAATCAATTCAGTAGCTTCTCCCTTTTCAAATGACTACAGACATGGTTGACCTGTCTTTTTGGATAAAATGTTTCCTATGGTCCTAAGGTACTTCCATGCCAAAAGAACAGTAAATCTCAGTTTAGGGGGAGGGGTGGGGGGGTAAGTTACCCTGTCAAAACGTACATTTTATAATGAACTTAGCATATTTACCCCCCATTGTCATGGTATTTAATGAAGCATTGGGTTTTTTACATTGAGACCTATTTAATTGAGCTCCTAGACCCCAAAAATGTGCACTTTGACACCAATATTATGACTATAGCTCCAACAGAAGAAAAGATAAGGGGTCCGGTGTATAAGCG